TTTATACATATATAAATATATACAAACACACACATGTACCTACGCACACTCACTAGCATACACACACACACAAACACACTCACACACATATATTCACACAAACACATACACACATATATACACACATGTACGCACACACAGGTACTTGCATGCATACACACACACACACACACACACATACACTTACACACAATTTCTTAAGGGGCCAAAGGGCAAGGCTGCAGGTCTCCTGATGCGGAAGATTAATCGCCACAGTTCCTAACTTTGTCCTCTTGAGTGTGTGTCAGTGTTAGTTAGTATTAGTGTTTATGTGTGTGTATGTATGTGTGTGTGTGTATGTGTGTGTGTATGTGTGTGTGTATGTGTGTGTATGTGTGTGTGTATGTGTGTGTGTGTATTTGTGTGTGTATGTGTGTGTGTATGTGTGTGTATGTGTGTGTGTATGGGTGTATGTGTATGTGTGTGTGTGTGTGTGTGTGTGTATATGTGTGTGTATGTGTGTGTATGTGTGTGTGTAGGTGTGTGTATGTGTGTGTATGTGTGTGTATGTGTGCGTGTGTGTGTGTGTGTGTGTGTGTGTGTGTGCGTGTGCGTGCGTGCGTGTGTGTGTGTGTGTGTGTGTGTGTGTAAAACAATCCATTAAACCGGAAAAAGAACTAGGACTGTTCTAGCCAGAAGTAAGCTTTATAGCCTCTCAGTGATTTTTTCACTACCCTGCTGTGTTCACCCACCTGTAGCCCTGTAGTAAAACATTTTAATCAACAATTTATCCACCGTGTGCAAGTTATCATTCGTTGAAATAATGTTGTCACACCTGTAAAACAGCATCATCATCACTATAGTCGTCACTAAATGCCTGGCCTAACGGCGTGGGCGATCACGCTTCTCAACAATCTGTGATGTGCAACTTCGTGTACCAGATTTAAGTTGACACGCATCCAAGTCATGATAGAAGGCTGTAGAGAACATTCTCATGTTCTTACTTTGTCACTATTTTCAGTCAACTTCAATATTCTAATTTTAAACCACAGTAAAACACGTCCATATTATGGACGGGAGAAGAACATTATGCACACATACAAAAACATACAGAGGTCAATCTAAACTTTTATATACAGGAAGAATGGGCGTTGTGCAAATTACTTTTATTTAAATGAAAACAGTCTCTATTAGCAGCATTAAAAAAAAATTAAAAATTAAATGGGAATAGTTTCCCAAAATTAATTATTAGGAAACATAAATTTTCAACTTGAAAGAAATTGTATTACCGTAACTATCATTATTATGTGCCGCGATCAGAAGCGTGATAGATCATAGCTTACTATTTTCCACACCAGAGAACCAGTTAAGTCAACATCCCTATCTAATCAAAGTTAACAGCTTAATACCCTGTTAACTAACGAAATAATCAGACTGTATATAAAAAAGTAAGTAAAGGACCCTTTTCCACGCCTTCAGGCATATAGGGCATATAGGGCTAGACCTACATTTTTATAGACCAATCGGCACAAGATGGCTGATGTGGTCAGCATCCCACCGGCCGCCTTTACTTTCCGGGACTGCACCCGGTACCCACTCAAGGCTGGGTCGACCTGGCAGCCACGGTCATTTTTCAAAAAAGTCCGGCTCCGCCAGGAAGCGAACCCACGACTTTCCGATCCGCGGCGAGCGTCTAGACACTCGGCCTCGACGACTCCCCAAACTGTATATAATCATTCAAAATAGTTGGACTTAACTGATAATTATTACCAATATATATTAAAATATGTGAGACAAAATCAAGTGTCGCGAGCTGCTTTTAGATAAATTTTGACAAAGTCTGACAAATGTAATCAATGTAATTGCTAAACAATTGGCAATTTCTGGTGTTTGACGCAACGGCTGCAGAGCTTTGATAACATGTTAACCACTGAACACTATTCAAAGGCATGACAAATAGTATAAGATACACCCACGAACAACATAACAACTGATACAATATTACTACTAAAAGTTCGACTACGAATAGTTTAAATTATGATAATATTTAACTGCAAAATACATACCAAAAACTACAAGCAATGCAAGTGGGCAGCGGCGCCCACATAAAGACATCATAGCTGGGGTAAGGGAGGTTTAATTTGTGAGGGTTTTTAGAGAGGATGAGAGGCGGGGGGGGGGGTGTTTGTCTTGTTCAAGTGTGCAATAATAATGTGCAAATGGTAAATAAATATAATTACAGATTTAAAACAACTAATGTAAAAATACATAAAAAGAAAATGTAATGCATCAGTTTGTGTGTGTGTGTTTGTGTGTGTGTGTGTGTGGGAGGGGCACTTAGGAGCCCTGTGAATTTTCTAGATAGAGGCTCAAGACTAATATCATCCTCTCTCCTCTCACTTTCCGTTCCGGCACTCCTGGAATGATATTACTGGGTTTTTGAGAGATGCTGAAAATAGTTACGTTGCAGCATGTAGATCACGAGGAAAAAACCAACTTAGAAGGGCTGGTGTCAAATTGACTACATTCAGTGTTAAAAACCAACCGCCATATAAGAATAATTGGGCTAAAATAACTTTAGCTTGAGTTGTTTAGGGTCTAAACTCCGCGGAGAGGTGGAAGTCATAAGGATATACAATAAAGAGCAGGATGTCTACAACTTGAATGAGAATCAAAACAAACAAGACAAAGAAAACTGGATATAAGTACGGCTGATGGGCAGTGTCATCCTGACCAATGGGCCCCGCTAGGTACTGGCCCAGGGGCCCCACGAGCATAGGGGTGCTATGATGAGATGGTTACGGGAAGTGACCATTTACATTTCATTCCGGTGAATGACCCCAGCACAATGATTTACCCAGGGGCCCATAATGCTGTTAGGACGGCTCTGCTTACTAACGTTTACAACAAGTGACAAATTTGATGAAATTAGAATTAGAGACAACACATCTTATGGTTTGGTCATGTGTCACTACCAGATAATGTAGACTACGACATGGTAGTGTCCCCATAGAGAGCCCTGTCACTTAGAAAAAAAGAAACAACCAGAGTTTGACTACGCAAACAATGGATAGACGGCACATCCAGGGCCCTAAATACTAGCAAATTACGTAGGATACCATGGATCACATCAGATGCTTCTTCAAAATCAAAACCTGACGCCGAAAGGCAGAACAAGACTAAGAGGGGAAGAACAAGGAGGAGGAGGAGAATCTATATTGAAAATGATTTTCTTTGAACCTAGGATTTAAAAAAAAAGACCTAAACAGTGTTATCATTATCTTCATCACCCTTGCCGTCATCCATATTACCACCATTTTGGTCATGCTATGCCTTTTACGTCACAAAGAGATAGCAATCTATTCCTCCATCTCTTTTTATTCTATTCAATCTTCTCAATACTGTGTATTGAATCTAGTTCAGCGCTGTTGGGCTCTTTCACCACCGTTTGTTTCACTGTTTTCCCTGCACGCCTTTATGTCCATTTATTTACCATTTCATTGCTCGTTAGGTGATTCTCTGCCCATTTTCCCTGTTGATAAGCCCCACATATTGCCATGCTCCCTGTCTTATAACTGCTAATACGAGCGATTGTCGATACTTTTCTCTTATTTCTTTACCTGTCTTCAGTTGATCCACTTCAATATTCAGCCTCCTTGTGTGTTTATTGACTGATGCATTTAACTTCCGTTCCATTCTTAAGCGGTGCTGTAAACAATCTTATGAACACTGATAGTACAGTATGAATAACAAATAATACTTAAAAAAAGAAAAATCAAGTCTTGAAAAACAAATTGCATTATCTCATTTAACAATTATAATTACACTCAATGCACAAAAGGTTTCTTTCCTTCAAAATTGAAACGAAATGTCACATGTGATACAAACATCATGAATATCAAGAAATAAACAAGTTGGAAATAACTGCAAAAATACATTTTGGTTAAACAGCTCTAACTGGTTTGGCACTTCAATGCACAATTAATGAATATACAAAGTAATTACTTATCTCCTCATATATACTGTAGTTAAAACACTTTTTAGAGAATTGTTGCAAGTTTTCACCAGGGCTTATAGCCAGTGTACAAGTTTTATTACTTTTTCTTCTGTCAACATTTGTCCAAACTGTTTGTACATCTTTTTGTCTTGTCTGTTTAACCTGTGGGTGGTTATCAAGGAATAACTTTTGTCTTGTATCCACTGAATCACAACATTAGCTGGGTTTTCCCGAACCCATGTAATTCCGTGGTCGACTCGGCTCAGAAAGATTTGGTACAAAACAAATTATCAAAGCAATGTTTCCCCGTTGTAAATTTGAACAAAGAAGACACAAACAATAGACTGCACAATTTATTGCCTGGCATATTTCGCTGTATCTCATCAGGTGCATACTTCAGTAACAATTAATTAAAATGAAGCAAATAGCTGAATCCTAGAAACTGAAACACAAATTCGAGTAGATTTCAAACTGTTTCACCAAGGTAAACGTAGGGCAACGACCATTTCCTTTTGCCTACAAAGTTCCGGTTTCAATCTGCCAATCCAGTTTCTAGGATTCAGCTATTTGCTTCATTTTAATTAATTGTTACTGAAGTATGCACCTGATGAGATACAGCGAAATATGCCAGGCAATAAATTGTGCAGTCTATTGTTTGTGTCTTCTTTGTTCAAACAAAACAAATTCATTATAGTTTGCAAAATGTCCAGTTTGTCCATTCTTTTGTAAAACCAATCATCTATAGCTTAATTTAAAATCTCGTTAATATGCTTATTGTCAATGATTCGTTTTTAATCATCAGGATAAATTCATTAAAACTATTAGGAATAATATCAGCTAACAGTGGTTGCTTAGAATGTTCTTTGTGAAATATATATAGCTTGTTACATATAGTTTTATGTGTATATTTTCAACGTATATTTTATTTTAGTTATATTTTAAAATCTTAGTAACTTCATCAGTGGTTTAATGAAGATAAACAGAGAAAATCTGAAGATCATTGATCACTGTTTCAGACAGGTTCCTAACTGCCAAATGTGTACTGGCTGAGGTCGTTCAGACAAAGTGTCTGGATGCTTTCCACTGTTGCTGGGGCATCTGTGGATGATAATGTGAAATTGATATAACTATTCGGGTGAAGATAATTTAAAAAAACAAAGATATTACAGTTGTTACAAAATGTCTACATTTATGGCCTTGGGTGATAAACGCCACTTATACCTTTCTCTCTTCAGGTCACAAGGAAGATACACAGTTCAGCTTCTTGCTCTTCTGGCAACATTGACCACTGACACATCATGTTATTGTGGAGCTTCTCTGGTGCTAAATCCATATTGTTCTTGATCTACTTCAGCTCTACAACTTTCTCATGTTTTAGTGTCTACCTGGCATGGTATGCCGTCACAAGGCGATCCATTTAACTTATATTCTCTGTAGCAATAACAAAATCCATTGCTGGCTTGCAAGGTCTGTCGCGAATTTACCAGAACCTCTGCCATCCACCATTCTCTAGGTGTGACCCAGCCACCGTAGCCTCTGTAGAATGAGCATTAAGGAAGCTATTATAATACTTGCTCTTTCCAACACCCTAGTGTTTCTTTTGCTGTCCTGCTGCTTAATGCTAAGTATTTATTTTGTTTAATTAGGTTCTTGTAAATTTATATTTCTCCAGCTTTGTCGTCGCCTTTTATTTTCAGAAACTTTTTTTTAAGTATCATCACAACAATTTGCTTTGCTATTTGCCGAGGACGTTTACTGACGTTCTGCACAGATCTCCGGCTTTACATTTCAGAATTCACTGTCTTGATGAAGCTTTGAATACTGCCACCTTAGACAGTTCATAATCATATGTCTTTGTATCTGCTACTTCTGTCGCTTATGTGTTCAGCAATAACGGCTTTCCGCTATCACTTTCCTAATCAAATGATCACAAAACATATCATTCATTTCTTATAGTTATGAATGATTTTATCGTTTAAATAAATCCCCCTAACCCTTCCCCTTTTTCAGGTATACGTTGTCTACTTTGGAAGCCATGGTAGGGTAGAGGTTAAAAGTTCGCCTGTCTGTTTGCCCATAGTCTTGGAAAATGTTACTATATAACCTATATAACTCTTAGCTCATATACCTTTCATTGTATGTTACTATATAACCTATATAACTCTTAGCTCATATACCTTTCATTGTATGTTACTATATAACCTATATAACTCTTAGCTCATATACCTTTCATTGTATCATTAATTTGAAATTTTATTAAATAATCTATAAAGATCTAGCACCACACACCCTTGATTTCATCATTTTTCAATAAGGACATAAAAAAGCGCTTAAAAATCTAGACGCATTTTCTTTTTCAAAATTAACCTTGTCTCTGAGGTCGACCCAAATAAAAATGGGCACCAGATAACTCTTTGGTACAAGAACACAGCAGCTATGGGGTAACACGTTTGCTGTGATGTTCCATCTGCGATTACTTGATAACCTGAACTGCGTGTTGGTTGAAACTAACAATGAAATGAGAAAATAATTCACAACTTACGGAACGGAAACCAGTCGGTGTTGTTCTGCTCGGCTCGGGCGGCCTCTACGGCACGTTTGAGAGCAAACAGGACACAGGCTCCATTACTGACTGGGACTTCACCAACAACTGAGGAATGTGTCACATTTTACAAGTGGTGGCAACTATTAATAGATAACAAGATATACATAGGATCTACCACATCTCTCCGGTAATACAACTGTTCATAATAACATTGACAAAGAAAGTGCTCTGATTATTTCCGTGTAAACCTCTTCCTCCTCTTCGTCATCAACATCATCATCAACATCGTCCTAAACATCGTCATCAACATCATCAACATCGTCCTAAACATCGTCATCAACATCATCATCAACATCGTCCTAAACATCGTCATCAACATCATCAACATCGTCCTAAACATCGTCATCAACATCATCATCAACATCGTCCTAAACATCGTCATCAACATCCTCAACATCGTCCTAAACATCGTCATCAACATCATCATCAACATCGTCCTAAACATCGTCATCAATTTCTGCCATTATCTAGGCTGTTCTTAGGTCCCTCCACAGTGGAACGTTTAAAAATAATTGCTTAAGGCGCCATGAGATTTGGCATGTTACAAACATTGTTACTGTGACTGAGCTTATCAAACACTCTCTGTGTCACAAAGGACTCACCATCTACTTGCCCATTCAACTATATCCGGGGCAATGCTTTCGATATTATAAATGGAATCCAGTCCAGCACCTTTGGTCTCTATTATCATCTTCGTTTTAGAGTTTCTCTTGGACGACATCATTTGCGCAGTCCATCTGTTTCACATTTCCCTACCTGTTATGTGATTCTCTGGCAGTTTCTTCTCGCCATGCGCTCAACATGTGGCCAGCATCCCCCCACCCCCCACTTGTAACCGTTGATACCGTCGCTGTCTGTGGCTTGGGCGTTGCGAACGCGCTTCGTAATAACAGGTTCGATCCCAGCTGTGGACTATTTGTCTTGTGTTGGTTCCGACAATGATATCAAGAACTGTCCTTTCAGGGAGCAATGGCAAACTGCTGAACGTAAAATATGCCTAGAAAGACCACAACAGCCAAAGAATGCTGGGGTTGGTTTTGCGAGGTCTTGTAAACAAAACGTAACTAACTTAACTGTTGATACCTATAGCTGTGCAGACATTTCTTCTATTTCTCCTCCTAAAGTTACTATTAGTTGCCCAAATGCATGACTAAGAGACAAATCATTTGTCTGACATTTCTGAAGGACCTAGGTTAGTTTTCGGACGGCGTCGTTCTCACAATTGAAGATATTTTGTATATCCATGAGCAAAATCATTTGTCAGTAGCCTCGGCCGTTACCTGGTTTGTCACCTTTCTGGTCTGACCCAGCAACTTCTCCTGCGACTCTTACATTACAGCACACTTATGACGTCACCGGGCCTTAATAAACCCACACTAAGTACTGACAACTTTACTTATAGTTTAATAGAACGAATACTGAACTTCAATCACAGACTGCGTCTTCATTCTAACTCTTTCCACTCTCTCTCTATTCTTTCAGTTCATCTCGAAAAAATATGGATGCAATGTAAATATGAGAAGCTTTGATTCTGCCCCAGAACTGACACACTTCACTCTGCTCCGAAGGTTTCGGGTTTGAATTCACAAGTCACGTTTCGTCCAAACATTACCTGATCTGCCAACTCAGACATATCATTCTGCTTGGGGGAAAAAGGGGGTGGGGCGGCTGGTGCGTGTTGAACACATCACCATTGAACACTGATTAACCAATGGCGTGAGAATTATTTGGGTAAGTTCGACCTTTGTCTCTCCAGACAGAGTAGGTCACTTTTTCATTCACAAGTTTGTTGGTCTGGTCGACTTTCCTGTAGGTTACGTTTGTTTCCCGCTCTGTTATTTGGTTTCTGTTACGTCTGGCATTTACGTATTGATTCCAAGAAAGAGAATGCCTAATATAGTTTGCAGCACTCTTTATGGGAGTTGTGTTAGACCCAGTTTGTTCATGTTTTTGGAGTGTTGAAGGCCCTGGCGTGCTGAAATATACAACATGCGATATCAACGGCATTGCGGGACACCCCCGTAACCGTGTGCAAAGATCACAGGCTCTGGAACTACAAGTCAGAAGTTAGCTAGTATGTATATGGGTGGGGTCTGAAGAGACTAAGGTCAAACTAACTAATAATTGTGTGTGTGTAAAAGGGGGGGGGGGGTGCATGTGTGTAAATTTTGTAAAAGAAAAATTAATTAATTATTGTGCTCTATTTCGAAGTTCTTCTATTAATAATTTATAATCAAGTCAATGACCTGTGGTCAGGCTGTGAACATTAATCCAGTTACAACAAGAAACTTAACTATCAGTATTTTACCTGATAAAAGCAGTAGTACTTTATAAAGAGTTTAATTTACTTACTTTTTGATCCAAGCACTCCAGAAGGATTTGGCACGTTTCTCATAAATTTGGCATTGAATTTAATAGGCAGGTCTTTCCCGAGGGGAGGTTTGTATTCCTGGCAAATCATATAGGCAATTTTATATATATATATATATATATATATATATATATATATATATATATATATATATATATATATATATATATATATATATATATAGTTTGTTTGTAAAAGGTTGAAACAAAGACATAAGCATTATCGGCGAGCTCAAGACAGGTCACGAAGAAAAATACCTATATTGCTGACATAGTCAAAACACGAACAGACATATTAGCAACGACTTCAAGGACAGGTCACGGGTCAAAGCCGTCAACGTCTAAACATGTGAGTAGTGCAAGTAATGACGATCTGATTTTGAGTAATTAATTCGCTTTAGCGATTATGGTCAAGATTAAGAAACAGAAGTACAATAAATGTAAAATAATAATGGCCAAGTCAAAAAAAAAAAAAAATGTAATATAGGAGATATTTTTAATAATAGGCATTATTTAACTGTCTAAATGTACGAGTGTTTACTGACAACACTGATTGACATATTTGCACACAAAATAGCATGCAAGTGAGCGGTCACATATGTGCAGAAAGAAGACATATAAAAGGGAATTAGGTATAGACAGAGCATAGGTAGGAAAGAATGGAAACGAGAAAGGGCGGAGGTAGGAAAGAATGGAAAAGAGGATAAATAAAAATTTGGTTGAATGGAGAAGAGAAAATGTTAAAGTAGAAAGCAAGGAGAAAATAAAGAAAATCAAAACTTGAAGGAATGGAAAATGAGAAGATGTGAAAATATGAAGGAATGGAAAATGGGAAAGGTAAAAATATTAAGGTAAGGGGAAGGGAAAGTGGGGGTGGGAGTTGAGAGAATTAGGAAGGAATGTGAAAAAGAAGAGGCTGAGATAAGACGGATTAAACTAGGTGAATCGAAGAGGTTAAATAGAAAGCAAGAGGCAGAGGTAGCAAGAAAAACATTGTGAAACGGAGAAAGGTAAAAGGGAATGGAAGAGTGAATGAAATCAGTTAGGAGAGTTGGTCGTAGTGGTTAGAGGCGGGAAAAGGGAGCAGATGGGAAAGGAAAAGTCGGCAAGTAGAAAAGAACGAAAGATCTAAGGATGGAATGATGTGTAAACGAGTGACATACCCATGTTCCGTCGGTTAGAGGCTGGCCGGTGACTGGGTCAAATTTCATACTTTCTAGCAGGAACAGCCCACAACCCATGATAAACCCACCTTCCAACTGACCCATATCCAGCTCTGGGTTCAAACTTGACAAGAAAAGAAGCCAGTTAGAGTATAAACTAAATAAATGTTGCACACATTTTTTATTACAGCACTGCACAAGTAAAGTGGCTTTTTATACTTTTACAATGTAGTATTTTGCAATCCACGTACATTGATATGATTTATTAATTGTAATTTCTACCCATCATCTATCGCTTTCCACTGCAGTAAAGCCAACCAAGTCTTGGTACACCTAGCTCCCCTCTATACCAGTGTCTGAAATACAAGAGAACTGTGTCTTCTTCTTTAATCCGCCTACTCTAGGGACCGAGCCCAATGATCTACTTACTATCTACTAGTGATTTGAGAACCCCCCCCCCCTCCCCCCCCCTGCACGCAATAAAAGCTGTTCAAAGATACAGACAATAACGTACACCCATAAATACTGACCTTGTCCCAGTGTCATTTAGGTAGTCAACCTGAAGGATCTGGTACTGACCAGTCAAGACGTCGATCTCCACTTCAACAGCACAAGCTCCCCAACAAACGTAGTGAGACGAGTACTTATCTCGGATTTGCGGCCTGAATTTTTAAGTTAGACAAAGTCAAATTTAATATTGTCATATTAAAATCAAACGGTGTGTTATGTGTAAAATCATCAACTGAAGCCAACAAAAGATTTCAAGTTTCTATGGAGCGTGATATCATCAACACAAAAATGGAAGAAGAGATAGAACACAGATTTAATATAGCAAATAAAGTCAATGGACAGATGCCACTAATTTTGCAGAACAAACATGTAAAAAACACTAAAAGAGCGATATTCAATACAGTAATGTTTAGCAACATTCTGCTACCAGTGCCAGATGTGATCATACCAACACAAGAAGAACAAAAGAGAAGAACAAAAAAAAGAATCGAATCAACAGAAATAAAATGTCTACAACGAAACCTAAATATAACTAAAAGAGACAGGATCAGAAATGGTGCTATCAGAAACAAATAGTTGAGACAGAACCAGGACTAAACTACAAGATCAGACAGATTCAGCGGTTAGAATATGTGTCAAGACTACCACCAGAAGGTCCGCCACAGAGATCGCTGCGACTCAGATATAATGGCAGGAGAACTAGAGGCCAACCACGCAAGTGTGGATAGATGTCATATCCGATGTCGCAGATACCAGCATTTGCGTAGCACATACCAAAGCTCGCACTTGATGCCTCCTAAAAAACCTGACGCTGATAAAGTCAGAACAGGACTAGAGATGGAGAAGAAGGAGAAGCGTGTTGTAGCAAACATCAGAATAATCAGGTGCCTTACATTACAACTGTAAAGTCAGTTACCTTAGTGATAACCCAGGACGGCGATTCTCATTTATCTTTAGTCCAGTGCGGACCTTGCATTTTCAAAGCTCTGCCACCGACGCCATACTTTTAATACACATACTGAAGTACTTTTTAAAATTTATAAAAATTAGAACCGAAAAATAAAATGCACTATAATGATGAAAACCCAATGAATTTGTTCCATGGACACAAGTAGGAAAGTCTACTCTAGGGTAATAAAGAGGTAAAGGGGCTAGTAGCGTTTCTTCCCCCTCCTCCCCCTTCCCACCCCTTCTGCCCCCCCCCCCCACACATTCGCATCATCGTTCGTTATGGAGTCTCTTTTGAATGTTATCTCCTCAATCCATTTTTTTCTTATTTCAGTTCCTGCTTTTTTACTCTATGTTCGTTTCGACTCAAGATATATCCAGTATATCATTTTTATTTTTTCCTTTTTTTTTCTGTTGTAATTGTTGATACCAGCCGCTTCTTCTCAAAGTTTACTGACTGTAAACTCCAGAAAAATGGTCGGATTGTTTGTCCACTTCTGGACTTTGGTCTTGTTCCAGCTTTGCATGCACATCCTTTTCACAGAGCTAGCTTCTTTGTGTGCATATAAATATGAGCGAAACATAAAAAAAAAAAACAACTATGAGCGCTACTGATAAAATTACGACAGGTATATGTACAACTGAGAGTGATCTCGATACACTATGACCTATTTAGATATACTGTGAGTGTTACGACACGCTCGGTGACTTCAGAATGTCTTCCCTCAACCTACTTTTTTGTGTGTATTTTAAAGGATACAGAAATAAATGGATTTGGATACATTCTTAATCTAAGTAAACAAACATTTATTTCTCCTGGACTGTTGGTCATATCAAACACCGAAACTTTTCCCCAGACGTTAAGTGTTAAGGTACAGAGATAAGACTGACAAGCTCAGACTTTGTGACTGCATATTTCACTTGCCAAAACTTTGGTGTCAGATATTTATCCAGACCTATAGGAGCAGATAACCCGGCCTAATTGCAATTATCTCCCCCTGAGGTTACCTGATTTGAGAGCAGGTCAGACGGCCAGTATTGACATAAATCAGCCAAAAGTGTTAGCAGACGAATTGACACGGTCTGATAAAGGGGATGGCAGGTTCAAGTAGGATGGAGGTGTGACTTGGCCTATTAGCTCTGGTCAGCTTGATGGACAAGGAGAATGTAGCCGTGGGAAAGCAAACAATTGTTGTACAGTCACTGACTGACAGTGAATAGACTTACCCACGGGGAGGAGCTGCGACATCCTTGAATGAGAGTGGTTTTAGGAGTAATGTAGGAGGAGCTTAGAAGAAGTTATAAAGGGGTGATTCTAGAACTGGTAAATGAGACTCTGCTGCCATCTGTTGGGCTTACACCCTAAGCTTGAGACAGAACTTTTGGCATTGTGTTTTCATTTCCAGGTAAGAAGCGAAATTAGTTCCAAAACCTTTATTTCTGATAGAAATATAACTGTCTTTTTGCTCATGGGTGTGTCTTCATCACTTTGTAGTACTCCTAGGTGGACATTTCTACATTCTTGTAGGGCACTGTCACATTGCTTTATATCGTAACTGATATTGTCATGAATGTTTTTTCGTGCACATGTGTTTCAATGTTGTAAAACTTAAATGTTGATGTTACCATTAAAATTTAATGAACTGTCATTTTTCTAACATCACAAGGGTGAAGATAATTGTAGCAGTTGTCACGTGTGGCTAATGTGAATCTGTTTTAGATACAGCTAACACACTGAAATGTGTTCAACTCCCGGGAGGCTAATGCAGAGATTGATCCAGGAGAGTAAATCCATAGAATTTGTTATTTGATTCGCCGCAGAAATATTGTTAGCATTCTGGGCGCGTCCATTGTTCCAAGCATGGATTTCAGAACTTGTTCTGTCTGACTGATTGTCATTTTGAGTCTGTACGAGAGATGACATCAGTCATAGAAGACTTGACTATCATTACAGGACGTGAGTAGAGGAAGGCAGGAAATGTAACGGCTTGAGTAGAGGAAGGCAGGAAATGTAACGGCTTGAATGTGAGACATAAGCCATTCCAAACTGGACAGGAGTGAATGTGAACATGAGGGAGAGAATATATGTTTTATTTAAATAAACTTGTTTGATGTTATTATAATATACATGCTTAGTGTACATCTAGATTAGATACTACACATATGCGCTTGTTTCTTTATCACAGTTCCCACATTGGGCAGGGACTAGTAGGCATCCATTCATTGCTGACCGTATGAGTGTAACGACCTGCTTGAAAGCAATGAGGACGACAAACTGGAAAAGGATAGGCAGGGTGAGAACTGTCCAAAGGTTTACTTTCTCCATCTTAAATTTATGTATAACTTTAATGTCATCAATAACACCATCTCAAATCTACTAGCCTAAACAAGTTCATTTTAATTTTGGTTAGTTTTATTCAATAAATCTTGTTATAAAATAGTTGAGTAAATTGTGTACTTAGGTTCGAGTGTCTTTGTGCATACTAGTTTATTTCAGCTCACAAATATTTAAATCACTTGAAAGGGTTTTTTAAGTAATGCCAGGAGAGGAGAAAGTCGGAGGGGTTAACTGAGTATCTTGATATGATCTCAGTGGGTGCATCTTGATCTCTATCTATCCCTTCTCCTACTCCTGTGGATACAAGTACAGCAACTTTCATTTTATGGAACGAGCCACTCGCTGTTTTCTTGGCTATCCAGGACTGTCGAGGATCAACATAGCTTAGATAATAGTCCAGTTTCTCACGTGGGTGGGCATTGTTAAGGTTCAAACCCACACTCTCACTATATCAGTGTATTTACCCATGTGGGCTCACGACAGTGAATGGTGTTCACATAATTATGAGTGACATGGTTGAACTATCGGGGTTAATTATAAAAATAATAATTTGTTAGAACAGTCAGTAAAATCTGCCGAAAAAAAATGTGAGACGGGTAGAACAATGAGTGATGTCGATGTGACTATGTGTGATATCGATAGAACAATGACCGATAAAAAGTTGAGTGATACTGATAAAAAGTATATGTGGTATTTAGAGAGTTATGGGAAATATCGACAATACTTTGAGCGATTTTGATAGAACAATTAATTATACTGATAGAACAATGAACGATACTGATAGAACAATGAATGATACTGATATGACAATTAAATGAAACTAATAAAACAATGAATGACACTGATATAAGAATGATGCTGATAGAACAATTAATAATACTGAAAGAAGAATAAAGGATACTGATGGAATAATTATTGAAACTTATACAACAATCAATGATACTTTTAGAGCAATGAATGACACCGGCAGGACAATAAATGATACTGGTAGAGCAATGAATGATACTGATAGAACAATGAATGAGAATGATAGAACAATGAACGACACTGATAGAACAATGAATGATACTAATGGAACAATCAAGTGAAACACTAATAGAACAATAAATGACACTGATAGAAGAATGATGCTGATATAACAATTAATAATACTGAAAGAAGAATAAAAGATACTGTGAGAACAACTATTGCTATTTATATAACAATCAATGATACTGGTAGACAATGAATGACATCGGCAGGACAATAAATGATACTGGTAGAGCGATGAATGCCACTAATAGAACAATGAATGAGACTGATAGAACAATGAACGATACTGATAGAACTTACTGGTAATGTGCTCTGAGGTCGACCAAGTCCCTGTAGCTTTGATTGACAATGTCCTGCCAAGTTGGGTTCTTAAGTTTGGCCTTCGACGGAGCCATGCGCTCAAGGAGATCTTCACAACACTTCAAGATTGACTGCAACCAACAGTTAGATGTGGTTCATGTCTCATTTGTATATGTTATACATACAGTAAAGTAAAGGACCCTTGTTTGCGTCCTATGGGGGTACTGAGTGTGTAGTTCTAAACATATCTTCTTTCTTCTTTGCATTCACCGACTGTAAACTCCAGCTGAACGTTTAAGGTTGTTCACCCAACTCTGTACTTTTGTACTGTTTCAGAATCTGAGTGTTGCGTGCACATCCGTTTTACAGATCTTTTTATGTGTATGTAGATTGTTTGTTCCTTGCCTCTAAGACAGATGCATTCCGACCTTCAGGAACACCCTAATTAGTCAACTCTTATAACATGCTTGTTGGGGAGGAGGTGGATCTATTCCTTTTGAGCCCATACTAGGATCCTGGAGCCCACACGGGAAGCTAGACATATATTTTACAGACCAACCGGTAATCCTCTGTTGCTGATGTAGTCAACATCACATAGGCCACATTTTTTCCAGGACTTTACCCAATACCTATTGTAGCCCAGGTCGACCTAGGAGCCACAGTCAATTGGAAAAAAAAAAATCAACTTCCATGCGGATTTAAACCACGACCTTTAGGCACGCAGGCGAGGGTCTATTCTCTACGGTATGGCGGGTCATATTTCACTCATAAGGTAGTTACAGTGGTACCTTGGTATAAGTTCGCTTTGGTATACGTTGAACTCGATAAAGCTCCTGTTTAGAGGCGAAAACGTTTGCACAGTATACCACCTTATTTTTATTTTACTCGCGTGCTAGAGTTTGTATAAATCAAAATTAGTCATGACACCACTAGCTATATCTGTGTAGCCTCTCTCGAGGAAACAAAAAAATCACGAATGGTTGTCAAAGACTTTGCAGAGAAGCAAGACAGTAGCAAAACCCAAACAAGCTGTAAAAACATTTTCTGGGGTGACCAAACGATGTCACAACCGTCCTGAGGAGAAGGCGGAAACAAAGTTGACTAGACAGATTTCTAGTAAAATTCACACCTGATGAGCTCAACCAGGCCCTAGTAGAGAAAAGAGACCAGTATTTCACATTTCTGATATATATTTCCGATCTAATGCCAGAGATGCAGCTGGCTTTAAGAGATGCTGGTTTACCACATCGTTGATGGTGATATTTTCAGTCATTATACTACCAAGAAAGGAGAATCTATCCACAACCCATTATTTCCAGACATATTAAAAAATGATTGGTTAAGTATACACTTGTTCTGGTGCTAGCTGGTATATGATTCGGTTTTCCCCGTGTTGATGGTAATCCCAAAGTCGGTTTGATAAAATGTATGAAAGAATGACTTGCGCGAGAGAGTTGCGCAATGCTTTCGACCTCATTATCTCGCCTGTAACCATCTGGACCCAGTGACAGGACAAGTCTGGACGACTGGAGATCAATTCAGGTGCAGTGGATAACCAAGATGTTCTTTGTGCTTCACTGTGCTTTTTTGGCTCCACAGCGCTTAGCTGGGGCCTTTCACTAAGCATTAATAAACTATAGAACTTATCTTTTCTAGTATAACCACAAACGGCGTGTCGACCACATCACCCATCAAGTGACTATTAGTCTCTAAAAAATAGGTCTAGCCCAAAATTCCCAATCCACATGAGGGCCCGGAAATGGTCCTTCACTTACTTTAACTTATAATCGCAAATAGCCAGGAAATACTGAGAGGTCAGTCTTAGTTGGGACGAACAATAGTAAAACAGAGTGAGCTTACAGGAAAACAGTAAAGTAGAGAACCCAGACAAACAAAATTTAAACAAAGAGAACTGAGACAAACAACAGTCAAACAAAGAGAACTAAGACAAACAACAGTCAAACAAAGAGAACTAAGACAAACAACAGTCAAACAAAGAGAACTAAGACAAACAACAATCAAACATAATGAACTAAGACAAATAACAGTAACATGTAGTGAACTAAGACAAACAACAGTCAAACATAGTGAACTAATACAAACAACAGTAAAACAGTGAACTAAGACAAACAACAGTTAAACACAGGGAACTAAGACAAACAACAGCTAAACATGGTGAACTAAGACAAACACCAGTAAAACAGTTAACTAAGACAAACGGTCAAGCCAAGATAAAACACAAGGAACTAAAACAAACCGTCAAACCAAGGTCAGACATTGTGAACTAAGACAAACAACAGTCAAGCGTAGTGAATTAACGCAAAAACAGTAAAATACAGGAAACTAAGATAAACAAAAGTATCAAGATGTTGACAGTTGAACTGAGACATGTACCAGACAGACGATGTCAGTTGTTGTAGATCCGGCAGACACGTCAGCGTTTGTGTTCACTATTGTACTTGTTGGCTTGACTTCGATCAGTGATACAGGAATGCCCAGTTTGTAAGCGGCGCACTGGATAGCCTGTGTTATCAGAAATAAATGGGTGAGTTTACTGTTTAAGAATCTGCTAATTATATTGTAATTCATGTATACATTTAAAAAAAAAAAAGATGCAATGAGGGGAGTTGAGTTCTTCTTTTTTTCTTCAGCGTTCGTCCGTAAAAGAGAGGTTGGCAGGTTGTTTTATAGTACATTGCTAGGCATCCATGTCAGCACTTTTAGGCCCAAGACATCTGATTTCAGTAAATCCTTAATTATTAGCTTTTTATGTCATTTTTATTGAAGGGCAGCGGCCTAAATCAACCTTAATGAGTTTTATTTAACTACGAACAGACATGACAGCTCCCGGAACATTGCTTTATTTCATTGGTTTCTATTTTAACTCGTTGAGTCCCAGGAGGTTTAGCAGCACAGGCCTAGGAGGTAGTCAAGGGAGACATAAAATCGGCGCATCATGTGTCAAGAGAGAGTTCTAATATGGGGTGCACAAGAAGTAATCTCATTGCATGTTCTTCTTTGAATCACTCTCTCCTTAAACTGTCGATCTTTAGTAACAGTCTCATCCCCTGTTAAGTCTTGTATTGTGTAATATCTAAGTTTGCCAGTCGTAATTAACCTTCTCACATGATCGCCGTTGTCTCTCATCTTATCTGTGTCTTTGTCAAGATCAAGCTGTATTAGCTAACCATTACTGGCATACAGCTACTCTGAATATGACAAAAGAGCAAAAGCTAGACAGCGATACAAGTGGGAGGACAACATAAAGAGATGGATAAACGGTAGTCTAGGAGAAAGTACAACCAAGACACGAGACAGGGGGTTGGAGATCTATTACTAGGAACTTTCATTATGGAGACGGCATCTCATTGATTTAGTGACTGGCTGATGTCCCTCTCACTTGCTCTTCATTAGAACTCAGATTCCCTCATCACTCCTCGTTGCGTCAATCTCACAGAACTTTGACGATCCTTTTGCTCCTCCAAACTGCACGCGTGCTCCCATAAGGCCATAACCTAGTTTGCCTTATTAAGCACTAGTATTCCATCAAGGTGTGCAGATCCAGCCAGTTTGTCCGCCTGTTGTGTTTATTTCCCTACATTATCTCGGAGAAAAGATCCGGATGATGCTCCTCCCCCGTGACCTCCGAAGTGATGTTTGTGTGTGGGTGTGGGTGTGCGTGCATGCATGCGTGGGTGTGTGTGTCTGTGTGTCGTGTTTTCTATCCAGCACAATGCTGCAGGATCGTAATGGCAAATGTGGAAGTCAATGATGACGATCGTGTTGAATATATCATGTACCTTCGTATTGATTCCTTGACCCATGTCAATGCCGCCATGACACAGATGCACACTGCCATCTCCATGATTGACAAACAGAGAAGTAGCGTACTTTCTCCCGCTCCAGCCCATCGCGTATTTATTCGGCATCACATGAAAACCCCGTTTCTTCCATCGGTTGTTCTGCGGACAAAAATACGTTCAACATTATAATTTACGAAAATGAGTTTGTTTGTTTTAGTATCCAGAAGCCATGAGTTGTTAACCCTTAGGCTCGGTATTATGGATATCGCAACATTTCGGCCTTGATTCCATTGTAAATACCGTAAATCTGGGAGAAATGTGGCTTTTCTGCCTACCCCCGGGAGTGAACCTAGACCACAAGGAGTTCGTCACCCGGTCACTGCGCAATCCGGTTTAGCCAACTACGCTAGAGAGCCGTGCACGAAAATGAGTAAACAATAATTAATTCTCTGGCTGTACAAATAACCAGTTAGTAGCAACGACAGATAAATCATCTTTCAAATAATCTGATTGCCTATGAATGTAGTTTGTCTTCTGCTTCTGCCTTTCTCTACGAATTTGTTTTCGTCTTCTGCCTTTCTATCTCTCTCTGGAGCATAGCCCCATCAACCAACTCACGTCAAATTGTTCTATCCTGCCTTTGCTATCGCCTGCAGCTCTCCCCATGTCCCAGGGGCCATCAACCAACTCACGTCAAATTGTTCTATCCTGCCTTTGCTATCGCCTGCAGCTCTCCCCATGTCCCAGGGGCCCTCAACCAACTCACGTCAAATTGTTCTATCCTGCCTTTGCTATCGCCTGCAGCTCTCCCCATGTCCTCCCATCTTTTTAAATTCACACTCTAGCTCCCTTGTCCATGTGTTTTTTGGTCGCCCTTTATTTCTATGCCCATGAGGGTTCCAGTGCAAAGATATTACATAATCCTTATATACTAACCTTAAAAGTTTAATTTTCCCTAATAATTCCATTGTCTTTTGTAATGATACGACGTTCTAACAGTCCAGGTGCCAGTTCGGTCGATCTGCATAGGTGAGAGAAAATACGTCAATGATCCAGACTCCTTTCAGCCTTCTCTACACCGTGTCGTACGTGTCGTACCTTCACTTCTTTGCTGAGGCAAGTATTCACTCTTTGGAGGTTGGGGTCTGGGTACCAAACCAGTGTTTGTTTGCGCTAAACAAAACCATGGCTGAACAACCTTGAACACCCGAGTTTGTAGAATGTAAACTTACTTTACAGCAGACAATGAATGTCGGAGTAGCTCTGTCACAATCAGGATTTGTCTCCAGTCCCGTGCTGTAAGTCTACATAACCTGAGATAACATAACCCTTGACCCGTTAAGATCTGGGAGGTGTAAAGCACTAGCATACAACCCGCCATCTTTCTCTGAATTCCGCTCGTTGAAAAGTCAATATTAATTTAGTCTTGACCAATCCTTGATGTCATTCCAGGTTCTTCTTTGCCCCCCCCCCCCCCCCCCCCCATTTGTTTTCTCCAGCCCCCCACCCCCATTTGTTTTCTCCACCCCCCCCCCCAATTTGTTATCCCCTCCCCCCTCCCCCCCCCCCCCCATTTGGTTCCTAACCCCCCTCACCCCAATATTAATTGTCTTTGCAATCGTATCGTGTGTTCCCACGTGCGCGAACCAAGATAGCTTGTGACTTTTCACCACTGCCAGAAGAGGCTCCTGAGGTCCTGCACATTTATTAGTTTTGTCTCTGACATATTTGTTAGTGTTAAGTTGTTAGTAGCTAATTCGTAGAAATTGTCAACATCCTTTATGTATATGCCTGAATCCTCCTTTACATTTCCCTAGTAGAAGTCCAACTCGCACGTCTGTATAAGAAGCTAGACAATACCAGAAGCCTAAAGAAGACAGCAATCACATGTTTGGGGATCAGTGATAACGTCAACAATTGACATAGCGACACAGGCTGTGGCAGCAGAATATAGCAGCTATCTTCTTGGAATTAAAGACGACATGCTTGATATTGATCATGTCTCAAGTCTAGTGATGTATTTAACATATACTCAAATGGCCAGAGTGGAAAAAATGTCCCATTTTGTTTCGAGTAATTGAAGTAACCAAGTCAAATGCACTAACGCGACATTGTCGCACACCATAGGAGAGACGGCGAAGTGTATAAGATAGAGTCTTACCGCTCAGGTCTGAATGTACAGGGTTCACATCGACATCAAGGAAGATTGTTATGTTTAACATGAATTCCTAAAATGGGCTCCCCAACGGACCCAGTCTAAAACTCACACCAGGAATTTCCTGGGAAGTATGTGCAGATGGCGTGATGGCGACCGATAACCCTGGAGTACCGGCATTCGGGTCTAGCGCCATGCGATCGATACTCATTGGTGTCGGAGAAAAGGCTCTTTAATAAATACCTTGTTGAAGTCATTGACCGCCTGGATTCGACTTGCAATTCCAATGTCTGTCTCCAGCTGGGCCACCAGGTCACTGATCAGGCAGTTTTCAATCAGCATGCGCCCCAGGGTCATCTGCAACATGAAGTCACCAAAGAAAGAATATATGTTTTAACGCGCTTAGTACCAATAGCATAAAGTGATCGAAGAGAGAATATATGTTTTAACGCGCTTAGTACCAATAGCACAAAGTCATTAAAGAAAAAAATATGTTTTAAGGCGGTTAGTACCAAAAGCATGAAGTGATTGAAGAAAGAATTTATGTTTTTAAAACTGCTTCTAAAAATACCTGCTATATAAAATGGCTTCCAAGGAGAACATTGACTGAAAACATTGAAGACATTCTGCCGCAATGTCAGTTACCAGAGCTGAGAATTGAACACAGGATTGCAACCTGTTCTTCCTTAACACACTAAAAGGCATAAGTGGAAGCTGATTATCAAGGTTTGTTTTGGAGCTGTCTTGCGGGTAGTTTTTAGTGTAACTATTTCAGTCATTTTTTGTTTAAAACTGTACCAGGGAAAAGATGCAGTGGTTTTGAAGTGCATTTGAGTTGTGTCAGAGAAGGTGTTTCCTGCTTGAGTCAGAATGTAAGGACTGAAACGTCATAGCTTCTAGGCACTGGATGTGCAAACTAACCATTATACCATAAACCCACACACCCCACAGGGGGCCACACACACACACACAGACACACACACACACACAGACATATATATATATATATATATATATATATATATATATATATATATATGCACACACACACCCTCCTACACACACCTCTTCCCAACTCATAAAAAAAATTTTTTTAATAAAATAAAAACAGAAGAAAGTCTTTAAATCATCCTCACATCTCCATCCTTCATAAAGTTGAGCTTGCGAACAGCCAGGTGATCCTTCTTGAGGTAGGTAGCCACATGGTCGATCATACATTCCATGCCAAAAATAGCTGGAGCAGTACCTGTCATCAAGAAACAGATCACGCAAAAACCAGACTTGTATTTCAAATTATCATACAGCCAGTGCTATTTGTAACACCCAACGCCCTTTTGATCACTGGCATCATGAGAGCTAACAGACTTAAATGGTTGGGGCACATTGAAAGAATATCAGATGACAGAGAAGTAAAAACTGTATTCACGATAGAGATGAACAGTTGTAGACCACGAGGCAGACCAAGAAGACGATGAAGAGATAATATCCAGACAGACCTGCTAACACTTGGTGTCACCAACTGGAAAGAGAAGGTCAACTAGAGAGATGAATGGAGGCGGGTGATATCCGAAGCAATGAACCTCAAGGGCTCGCAATGCTGAATAAGAAGAAGAAAAACTCCCTCTCTGCCTTCTCTAAAAAAAAAAAAAAAACCCCATTAAAAAAAGGATAACAATTATTATATTTTTTAAGTTAAAAAAAAAAAAAAAAGAAAGACCCTTTTACATGTCTTAAGTCATGTTGGGCATTTAGGGCTAGACCTATATTTTGTAGACCAATCGGCACCTGGTGAGTGAGACCGTCATCATTACACCAGCGGCCATTACTTCCCAGGACTTTACCTGGTACCCACTCAAGGCTGGGTCGTCCTAAAAATCCAGGTCATTTCTAAAAATAGTCTGGCTCCGTCAGGACCCGAACCCACGACCTTCCGATCGACAGGCGAGCGCCTAGCCACCAAAGTACGAGACATGACCATTGTAAAATTAAAAAAAAAAATCAGAATGATAATATACAGGTCTGAGGTTTTGAACAACGGATCAACATCATGGCACATGGGTAGTAACTTATAAGTGCTCCGTTCTTCTTCTAAGTCAAGTCTGAGTCCGATGATGTTCAGCACAGTGCACAGGCTCTGTAGCAACGGCGAGTATCCTGAAATACTTTGGGTAGATTTTTAACTCTAAATTTTCCTGGGCAGCGCCGTTAGGCTACTCTTTTCGACTTACAGCTGACAAGGGACTTTTTACGTGCGCAGCAATGCACACGGGCGTCAGATTTCACTACCCAGAGACCAGTAGGAATTACTAAAAGCCCAAGTCCACGTCAAAAAATCACAGTCCTTACTGGGGATTGAACCTGGAACCTCTAGCACTCGAGGCGGACACCATGCATCGAGACCATTCAGCCCCGCTATATATATAGTTGACTATGATTCTATATTTAAGAAAAACGTTTATATAATATTCTTCAGGAAAGCCTAATTAAAAGGAATACATTATAGAGGACATATAAAACAATAATTCTGAAGAAGATAGGTTAACAAAGACACATTGAATGGAACAGACTAAAGTAAGCTTCTTAAAGAAGACATTGAAGAGGACATATTTGAAATGAGACATAATAGAGAACACATGAAAAATCATGTGATGACGATTACGGAAACTAACTGACCTGGGGCTCTGACAGCCGTGCTCACTGGCTTGTTTGTTCTGACCAGTTGGACGGTGTATGACCAGTTGGGACACGTGTACACTGTAGGGGTAATGCAGATATTCTTGTACATCTCAGGTAATCATTTACGAATTTGAAAGAATTGTGAGAGAATGACAGAAGGATAGAGACCGATTGAGCAAGAGAGAGAGAGAGAGAGAGAGAGAGAGAGAGAGAGAGAGAGAGAGAGAGAGAGAGAGAGAGAGAGAGACCACGAACAAACACGAACTTAGTGTGAAACAAAGACAAGTCCAGAAACGAAGAACAAGAGAGAGAAAAAAAAAAAAGACGTAAGACAGATGAAAAGTTGGATAGAGCCAGATAGATGCTTTATTAGAAAAAAAAAAAAAAAAACATCGTCACGTTCAACTAGCATCCCTAAGGGGGAGCTTAAGGTTATAAGTAAGTGTGGCTTGCTTTTGTGCGCCATGTAAATTGGCTTAGCATTACACTCCACTAAGAGCCCTAAAAAAAGGACTTCTGCAGTGTTGATGCGATTAAAAAAGACAGACAAAATACTGTCCCCACAGGTGACGAAGTCTTCTACCGGTGAGCCAATAGGCTACCTGATCGCTGATGATGGATCAATAAATATGTAGACATATATATATATATATATATATATATATATATATATATATATATATATATATATATATATGGACAAAGAGTGAGCCTGTAGTTATTTAACTAGACAGCAAGACAAATGAATACAAATGTGCATGCTAATAAAGGCAGACGGGAGACAAACAGAGAATAAAAGAGGAACAGATATAAGCACAGAGAAGACCCAGATGTAGACGGATCTATAGGCAAGCACAGAAACAAAGGTAGTTGACTAAAAGTGCTAAACAAATAATTCTCCCATTTCGTTCTTCTGCTTTTGATTCTCCAGTACAACATATTCTCAATTCTTACTCACACCAAGTTGTTCTTTATTTTGCTAAGGCAGTAGGTCACCCAGTTCCCTATCCATCATTGGTATACGTAAGGTTAGTCTCCCCTGCCCCGCCCATATACACACTAGCTCACTTCTGATTGGTAGTTCCTGAACTGGTCACCTCGGCACACATTGCGAGGTGTTCTGCAATGCCGTTAATATCGCGTGTTTTAAATGTCAGCGCTTTTAACACACACACACACACACACACACACACACACACACACACACACACACACACACACACACAATTAGGAAACTGGCTTAACCCCCCCCCCCCCCGAGAATGACGCGATCTACGTCACAGGCATTCTCTTTCTCGTAATGATACTATGCAATCATTTCCGGTGGCCACACATGTATTCAGATTCGACTGGCGTGACAGATATATCATTTCTCTCTGTAATACTTCATTTCGGTGATTTTTTTCTTTTCGCATCTGTGGTATTGCATATTCAGGTAATGTACTGATGTTTGCTTTCTAGCAGCAAGGTTTGTATGAAGTTTGCTTTTGTGATAATGTGAAACTGACTGGTTATACATTTCGTTTGCTTTGATAACTTGCCAAGAATAAAAGAGCGTTATGGGAAGGTTGGGGACGTTAATGTTAATAAACGAAACAAAGATGATATAGTCGTAACAGACAAAAATCAAGTCAAAGAACTATAGCAGCTACCATTGTCAATAAATGCAGTGGTATGTTCATCTGAACTGGAAGAATCCTGAGCTCCGAGATCTGCGTAAGTTGTTGCAATTATAGCAATAAGCTTGCCATCATCATCGAAACCAACCTGGAAATATTAAGCAGCAAATGTTTTTAGATCCCTAAAATAATGTTAAAGATAACAACAGCTACCATTATCAATGAAAGCGGTGGTAGATTCGTCATAATTGGAGTGTTCCTGAGCACCGAGATCCGCGTACGTTGTTGCAATTATAGCAATCAGCTTGCCATCGTCATCGAAACCAACCTGCAAGCATTAAACATGTTAGGTTAGTTTCTGGTCCTTGAAAGCAGACCACTAAAGACGATCTCAGATACGATAAATTTATGTTGTGACGAACAATTTGCTCATCCCTTGCAATGTTTTCCGGATAAGAAGAATTTCTGATAAGACGAACATTTGTTGCATCCCCCATGAGTTCTCCTTATCAGGTCTACACTGTATAGGTATAATCTTACATATTTATTAAAAAAAAAAAAAAAAAAACGATGTCTGCACTCACTGTAAGAACTGATTGCCCACATCAGAGGGGGACAATCTACATTGTGTGGTCACACCGTAAGAGGGAGAAAGCTGTAGGTCATCGTGACGGTGGGAAAGTAGGAGATGGAAAAGAGGCAGAGGGAGTCCAAGACAGAAGATGCAGCTCAATTCAATATCATAATATAGATATCTTGTTAGAAATGTTTCACACCAAACTAGCCGGAAGGTCGTGATTAGTTGCAACCAACACTAAAATGCGTGGACGTTTAGAAGAACAATAATAAGTCTAAAGTCCTTTTAATCGCATTGGTAAGCGTGTCCTAAGGGTGTCTTCCATATGCTGCACGCTCCTGTACATTATATAGGATTTGTATACAGTCCCTCTACACTTTGTGTGCAAAACCTAAATGCATTACGTAATCCTAAAAATGTGCTGAAAGTTAATTAAATTAGTTACAATATCTACTGCTATGGTCTAACGCTGTTTTGGGGAAACTGGAGGTACATATGCAATACTGATTAAAATAAGTCTAGGAAATGTCCATCACCAGCTGTTTCATGACTGTACACGTCTGTTAATATTATGAAACATCTTCTGAAAGTGTCTACTAGTATTTATTTAAAATGTAATTGCGACTACTATTCTGTGAGGAGAGCAAACAATTACTCAGACAATTAGAAGACGACAGCCATTTACTGCACTCTGCTTCGCGACTGTCTGGTGAGCACATTTTTTGATAACATCATGGACTTCGTTATTCACACTGGTTCCACATACAAAGTATACTGAGACTTGACAAACAAACACCCCGTATGTGCTCTTTGCACGTCGTCACCTTACGTTACATTTAAAGTATTTGTGTTCAAAGCATACTGATTCCATCGGCACTGGGGAACTTCTCTGGGGAACTTCAGATACAGGCTTATAAATTTATGTCACCTGTACTGGTTTCGTGTGACATTTAAAAAAAAAATCGTTCCTTTTTCCGTTTCAATATTTCATTACCACACAAGTAACTACGCTTTCCTAGATTACTCTACTTATAACTAATAACTTCTGACGTCGATAAGTAAAAAACAGTAGGATGGACAAAAAATAGAAGGTAGAACAAGAACAAGATGGAAAGATAACATCGGAGAAACTCTACAACAATATGATTTGTCTATGGTCTACCTCGAAACCCGAAGTGGTTAAGTGGAGAAGAAGATCACAATTATGTTGTAACCATGGGAGGCTAATCATGACCTACATCAACACTCAAGATTGTAATCAAGTTTCTAATCTTAGTTAGTAGAATTTTGCACGCATACTTAGCCACAGAAGCTAACAGCAGAATGATATACTCGTTCTCTTGCATTTGCTTCTTCTTCTTTTCGCATTATTCAATACGAAACAAACACTTATATGATAATAATGGCATACACATGAGAATTCTCAGAATACCATTGACCCAGAGGAAAAAAAAATACTGACATCCTAAAAATACTGACATACTAAAAATACTGACATACTAAAAATACTGACATACTAAAAATACTGACATACTAAAAATACTGACATACTAAAAATACTGAACATCAAATTAGCTTGGCTCGAAAAAGCATCGTGTTTTGGAAACTGAAATATTTTTTCCTTATTAGGTGCACTGCGGATGGGAACGAACAGTAGCAATAGGCATGGTGCCAGGAAAGAGGGACAGGGGCCAACCAGCGCAACCATGGGCAGATAATACAAGTGACACCTTGAAGGAAAGTACAAGAGATGGTAGACCTGGCGAGAGACGGAGGTTTTCAGGTAGGCAATGATGAGAGCGGCGATCTGCAAATGAACCGCTTCATGATAATGATGGGGAAATATGATGTTATTGTCGTTAGGAATTACTGGACACAACCTACCTCATATTCAAAGACAAAAAGAGTTCTCTTCCCCTGGAACTGCATGTTTGTGTGAAGGTCAAGGTTCATCAGAACGGGTCTGCAGGTGAAAACATCCATTGTTGACCGGATTAGCATTATATTTTTTTTATTTAACATACAGAGCTATATATAGAGTGAGGAGCGGCTGGCCGAACGGTTAGAACGATGAGCTCTCAAGCGAGAGACCTAGGTTTGAATCCTCGGTAAGGCTGGGGAGTTATTCTGTCAGGGGCAAAATAAAAGCCTCGCCTGTACAGTCGTGGCGACAGCACTAGCTATAAATCCTCAGGCTCAAAGACCCCCACAACCCCCCCCCCCCCCCCCCCCCCCCCCCGCCTGCCACGCATACGTGGTATAATAAAAAAGTTAATTGGCTAGATTTTACATATGGCTGTGAATCCTTGGACAATTAATAAACAACCAAAATAATTTGTTTGAAACCTCAGAGATGTTGTTTTATAGAAAATCTTTACAATTCCTTGGACAGCCGAAAAGAGCAACCCATATATTTTGAAAGGGGCGTGGGCATTTTTGATCATGTTATAAAAAGAAGGACATTTAAACATGATGTGACTACTGGAAAGTTCTGTGGAAAGAGACACATAAATCTGTTGAAAGAGGGACAGGGGAAGACAAGGTGAGCAGAATCTTATTAGCTATTTGGCATAGCATTAAGGGGTGTCAACACACAAAGTGATGCACGCAGTTGCAAATAGCAGACTGTGCCAGTTAGGGTCCTTTACTTTGCTTTTAGACAGGGATGGACAAGGACGGACAAGGATAGACAAGGACGGACAGGGATAGACAAGGACGGACAAGGACGGACAGGGATGGACAAGGATGGACAAGGACGGACAGGGACGGACAAGGACGGACAGGGATAGACAAGGACGGACAGGGATAGACAAGGACGGACAGGAACGGACAAGGACGGATAGGGACGGACAAGGACGGACAAGGACGGACAGGGATAGACAAGGACGGACAGGGATAGACAAGGACGAACAGGGATGGACAAGGACGGACAGGGATGGACAAGAACGGACAGGGATAGACAAGGACGGACAGGGATAGACAAGGACGGACAGGGATAGACAAGGACGGACAGGGACGGACAAGGACGGACAGGGACGGACAGGGATAGACAAGGACGGACAGGGATAGACAAGGACGGACAGGGATAGACAAGGACGGACAAGGATGGACAAGGACGGACAAGGACAGACAAGGACGGACAGGGACGGACAAGGCCGGACAAGGATAGACAAGGACGGACAAGGACCGTCAAGGACGGACAAGAATTGACAAAGTTTGTATAACGATACAAGCAACAAATCTATAATGATGACAGCGCTTCGACTCACCTCTTGGTGAGGTATGCAGCCACAGCACACATCCCAGCTACTGGCGCATTATAGCTTCCCTTCCCGCCAAATCCTCCTCCAATCCTCTGGGTTTCCACGGTGATCCTGACATTCATTAAATAATCAATTCTTCGTCATGGTGGTGTAACTGACAAGACAATTTGTAATTTACTACACGCTGATCCGAAAATTATGTGCAGCTTTTTCTGGCTAAATTTTAATTCGCACTCATACAAACACACACACACACACACATACACACACACACACACAGACACAAACACACACACAAACACACAATGCCCTTTTTAAAATTTTAGGAACCGACATAGCGCTAAACGAGCAGCTGTAGTATAGTGGATATACACTTGCCATAATGCATGAAGGGCATGAGTTCGAACCCACATCAAGACTTATTTTTTTAAATTTATTTTTGTTCCTTTTATTACCCAGCTTAAAATCGGTACCATCCAATGCCATGGGAAGTAAAGGCGACCGGCCATATGCTGACCACATCAAAGACCTAGTGCCGATTGTTCTATAAATATGTGATTCTAAGATCACGTGCTGGATTCATAAGTGGCATAGAGAGTACTGATGTGCACATTTAGGAGTCGACATTTTAACTCACCAGGCATACGCATAGATGCTCTGTCTCTCGCAGAAAATACCTTAAGGCAGTGGGTCTCAAACGTCCTAATGCCGCGAATTTTTTATACAGTTACTCGTGCTGTGGCGACCCCCAAACATAACATTATTTTCGTTACTGTTTCATAACTTTAATGAACATGTGTTTTTCGATGGTCTTAAGCAACCCATGTGAAAGGACACTCGACTCCCCCCCCCCCCCCCTTCCCCCCTCCCTTCCTTTAAAAAAAAAAAAAAAGTTCGCGACCTACCGGTTGAGAACCTTTGCCTCAAGAACTTGATGCTAACTGTTCCCGTAGGACAGTTATTATGGAAACGTCGCTCTCATCCTCTTTAAGTCCATCTGTGCCGGATCCGAACGCAATTCCATGTTAATACATTCTTACACAGGTTGTTTCATCTTAATAAGTATAATAACACATGCATTAGAAACGTGAATGTTGAACGCTGCTTGTCCTATAGCAGAGTAGATTAATCTAGTCTTATGAACCTCAACAACAGAGAGCCGCCCTCGTGTAGCGGCTAGACATTTGTCTGCGGATCGGAAGGTTGTTGGTTGGGGTCCTGATGGAGCCTACCATTCTCTACTACCGTGCAGTGGTAATGATAAACTCCTGATTGTAATACATGTTCAGTAAAACCAGGGTAGCAAATGCTGGAGCTGGTTGTGCAACGTCCTGTAAAGAATACACAGCTAACTGTTTTTTCTAGTAACAATTCTTACTTGGATTCTGACATTCCCAACGCATGCGAGACTGCTTGGATGACAGGATCCAGCCACTGTGTGGTGGCCATGACGTACATACCATCTGTGTCAGTGGGAACACACAGAGCCGCCTGGTTCTCCAAGTGGAAATTGTACTGGTCGCTGCAGCGGACAGTTCCACTGACCCTGTGAGGAGCAGCCGCCATGGCAGCTTCACAAAACAAGTATGAATTATGAGTAAAGAAAATGTAAATTATTATTAGAGTTTGTTTCCTTTGTATGGGATGGCTAAAAGAACGTCTTGAAAAACATTTCACTTACCACTGTTTGAATTCTTCTTACGCATAGTTGAGAGCTGAGTTGAGAATTATCATCACACTCAGAGCAGTCAATATCTTGTCTTATCCAATAGTTCCACTACTAATGCTGATGCTGGCATAGTCTGATTGTATGTTCGGTTTGTCTTCCCTCTTAGAATCGAGGGACTTTGAGATACTCTGTTCACTCTCATGTGCATTCCTTCAAGTTCGGAATAGGCTTGTGTGTGTGTGTGTGTTTTCGACCGTTGATGCCACGTAACAAAGTCATCTATACTTCCTATCTGTCTTCTACCCCTCCCCTCCCCCTCCCATCAGGTTTGCCACGTATAACTAAAAAAGTTAACTAGTGGTCGGTCGAGTTTCTAGCCTTGCTCGGCACAGGTCTGCTGCTCAATTTCTGTGCCAGTGGAGGTCACACAAAATGTCCTTCACTATCCCATTCAAAAATAGTAAAAAACGTGCCAGTAAAACTTGGAGCTTGAGCTAGCAAAGTAAACATGTAAAATGCAGCTGTCAGATTTGCCAACACTTATGTTCTCACACTAGAACTGCAGCTCACAGTTGGCGCAAAAAGGTCAGTTACAAAATGCGCCTGCAAGAGTACACATTAAATCACTGAATATTCGCGGTAATTCCCCCTGACAGCACTGACACGTACTGTCTGTCTCTGCCAAATGTTTGTGCTCAGCGTTTCTAACGGAACTAATAATAGCTTTTTTCTATCGAAACAGACATCTGTGATTGTACAAGACTAACCTGTTGCGTTGCCTCTGACAGCAGGACCAGCCCTGCCGATGAAGGATTTCTGCTGGATGGCCTGTTCAATATCAGTCAGGGCTGGCTTGATGTCCGTGTATGTGACCTGGACACCGTATCGTGAACTCTGGGCTGTAACTTCGTCCTCTAAAGAAAAGAAACATAAGAACTGGACCTAAGTTGACTGTGTGTATCCTTCAGAAAACATGTTATATAAAGGAGTCAGTGCCACGAGACAGTCTAAGAAACTGATGAGACCTGTATTAGACACATTAGGGGAGACTGTACTGCCAGCTGGGCACGTTTAGTAAAGAATATACTCATTAATTTCGTGACACTGGCACAATTTATTGAAAAAAGAGTAATAGAAAACAGTGGGTAGTTTAATGATGTGTTCAGACCCAATTATCAAGACAGTTAATATACTTGATTCACTACTCGACTGCACGAGACCGCGGACAATGTCTTCCACTGTCTTTGATGATGATATGTTGTTACTAATTCAGCTGTCAGATAAACGTACTTGGATTCCAGCAAACCCTTACTTAGTCATCTTTTACAACACGCTCGTTAAATAGCAATGGGTCTATCCCCCATGTCGGCTCTGTGGCTAAGTCGGTGCGAACGCTTCGTAATGCCAGGATGCCAGGTTCGATCCCAACTGCGGGCCATGTGCCTTGCGTTGGTTTCGACAGTGGTATTAAGAAAGCCGACCGTCCAGTAGTCAATGGCAAATTACTGGACGTAAATTTGCCTAGAAAAACCATACAACAGCCAGGGGCTGTTGGGGTTGGTTCTGCAACGTCCTGTAGAGGATACGCAACTAACCTATCCCCAACAATTGTCCCCAATAGTGCTCCGTAACCCCCACGGGAAAAATTACCCAATTAAATCTAGTTTCTGTCTACCTAAGGAGGATCTTCTTTGTTAATTGGGGATGCTGTTGCAACAGTGAAATACGTTATCATTGCAACCTCCTTAACTGCTACACGGAGATAGGTTATCATTGCAATATCCTAACTGTAGAAGTCAGATATGTTATCATTGCTACCTCTGCAACTATTACACTATGTTATCATTGCAATATCTGTCACGATACGATCTCAGTGGTTCCAGAAGTTAGTACTTGTAATAAGTTCTTCTGGTTCTAAAGATTATATTTACTCTGCCCTTTACCCTAATATTACTTTAAATCAAATTGATTTAAATGTTTCCAGTCCTTCTCCGAGACAAAGCCACTGCGCTTTGTTTAAAATGACATAACACTACGGAATACAGCCCGCTGGTTCAGAGTAGGGATGTTAGGTTTGATTCTCACGCCAGTGTCAGAATGTTATCTCCTAACACAGACTGAGTGGGGCCCTTTTGAACAGGGGAATTGAGTGGACTCTAGACATTGTGGCGACGAGAGGTTTAAGTAACACGTCAGTGTAATTCTCCAGAGAACAGATGTTTGGCAATTAGGAATGTTTGATCTTGGTCAAGTAGGAAACACAATGGCTTCACTGACCGTCTTTTCACACCGGCTAGTTAGATTCGTTGTAAACTAGATTGGGTCACTTAAGACTGTTTGCTCTAGGGATGTCAGTCCAGCATTGACTGACAGGCCACTTGTTAGCTAATTTGATCTGATAGGTACTTCAGAGGCGTGTCTTAAGTCATCGTCTTGAGGGTTGGGTAGAACCGAGAAAAGGGAGGAGTTTAATTTGGACAATAGATAGTATACTTCGAACCTTTGGAATTCCCGACACATCGCAGCTAGCAAGAAACAAACACAGGTCGACCTAAAAGGTAAATTTTACGGTCGGATTCTGGTTTGGCGATTGATGGAAGTTCCCAGGTAAAATATTAATTTTAATCTTGTATACATAGGTTAGGGAGTTAAGCTTAATCTATACTACCTTTTCCTAATTTGTCTGCACATTCTGCTTGAAATAGTTCTTTGTGAGTATTCAGTATCTCAAGTTAGGGAACTGCTAAACTATTCCTATTTCTTGTATGTTTGTGTCACATGTTTTTCAGTGTATGTTTCCATGTGTATAAAATAAGATGTGAACCATGACATTTGCTGTAATGAAATGTAATTATATTGTTTCCACCATCTACCAAAATATGAGTTTGGACTGTGGGAAATCATGCCCATATGTGCAGGGATGCTGCTACGTTTTGTGTGCCCACCATGTGCTCACTTAATGTGTTCACCTAAACAGGGGATTTATAACCCCAGGGGAAGAATGATGGGTTTGCAGTATTTACTGTCACTGAAAGATAATATTCAGGACAGCATGCACAGATAAAATGGTTGGAGTTTCAGCACATAACCTGCCCCACGTGTTGATGGAAAACCAATGATTGGAAGTCTGAGTGAAGACGGACAACAGACTTAGAAAGTCAACTATCATGACATAGCTGGTGAGGGAAGGCAGGATATGTGACGCCCATGTAAGAAAAAAGACCTTCAGACTAGACTGGAGAGAATGTGAATATGAGGAGGAGTGATGGGATATATCTTATTATTATATGTTACAATATTTGATACATGTATTCTTAGTGTAAGTCAAGATACTACACGTATGTGTTTTGTTTCCATGATTACAGCGCCCATGTGACGATCAGTCCATGAAAGAGACTACATTGTGTTAGACTCGGCCAGCTGGGAACGAGGTGGAGAACGAGGTGGAGAACGAGGTGGAGAACGAGGTGGAGAACGAGGTGGGAATGATGTGGAGACCGAGGTGGGGATGAAGTGGAGAATAAGCTGAAACAGGCAGAAAACAGGCAAGGAAGAGTTGATAAAGCTTGACAGTTCCTCACGGCTGTCAGAGGCTTATAAGCTAAGTTAACCCATTTTGACTTAACATATCAACATTATCACACCACTCTAAACCCCGGAGCTGTTTTCTCGCTGAAGCTTATCACTATCATTATTATATAATTAATCAGTCACTGTTTGTGTAAACACAACAAACTGGGAATATCATTGTTAGTAAATAAAGCTGTATGTCAAGTTTTATACTACATCGTTTGTTAAATTCCAAGTGTATTCAATCTTACCTGTTTTCTAAACTGATAGATAGAATTACATTTGGTTGTGGCTCAATTAATATGATAATAATTCTTTAATTATTCATAATAACACCGGGAGAAGGTAGATGACGGAGGAATCATTTGCCCTGTCTAATAATTCATTAAGTATAATGCTATAGACATCTAAAATTCATTTTCTTCTCTTGTGGGTACCAAGTTCAGCTAATGTTAATGTACTTACCGAGCCAATATGGCTGTTTTCTTGGGTATCCAGGACTTTGTCTGAGAGCAACATAGCTCAGATTTTAGTTCGGTTAATCTGGTGGAGGGAATGTGAACATCCCTACTCAACATTATAAACATGTTATCCACCGCGTCACGTCACAATATCTAAATGCAGAAGTCAGATATATGATCATAATATTATTACCTGCAACAAGGATGCCAATAGGTTGTCCAGCATATTGTACTTGACCACTAGACAGTAGCTATGAAATGTATAATGTATACATATATATACACATAAAGTTAGGAAAACTGAATAATTTACTGAGACAAAGCGTTTAGACATGGTTTGTTTTTGTGCATAATGGCACATGCAATGTTTACCCTGTCGAACATTCATTTAATAACCAACCCCCTCGCCGAACATTTTCTTTTAATAAAGTCATGTCCTTTTTTGTTTTGTCCAATATCCTACCTTTCAAGTGTATTGTCAGTCTTGCAATGTTTATCAGCCCTCTTGCTATGTGCATTACCCCTCTTGGAATGTTCATCGTCCCCCTTTCAATGTTCATCCTCCCTCTTTCAATGTTTATCCTCCCTCTTTCAATGTTTATCCTTCCTCTTTCAATGTTTATCGCCCCTCTTTCAATGTTTATCGTCTCTCTTTCGATGTTCATCGTCCCTCTTTCAATGTTTATTGTCCCTCTCTTAATGTTCATCGTCCCTCTTTCAGTGTTCATCCTCCCTCTTTCAATGTTTATCCTCCCTCTTTCAATGTTTATCGCCCCTCTTTCAATGTTTATCGTCTCTCTTTCAATGTTCATCGTCCCTCTTTCAATGTTTATTTTCCCTCTCTTAATGTTCATTGTCCCTCTTTCACTTTTCTTTCACTGATCTGTTGTCCCATGTGCCAATCCCCTTATGCACATGGCTGATTTTCTCAAACTTTGTGTACATTTGGCTGTAAAGTCAATTGTGTTCTGCTCTGAGGAATAGAGTAATGACTTGTTCTGTCCATAATTTTGTAAACAAACGAACACACACAAACACTCAAACACGCACACACACACACACATAGAGAGAGAGAGAGAGAGAGAGAGAGAGAGAGAGAGAGAGAGAGAGAGAGAGAGATATTATACTTAAACCATAACCTTGAACTTTTAAAATATACTTACATCTTTTATCAAGTTAGGAGCTTCCAAACCACGGGGTCTCCAGAAATTTCTTCCAGGGATGTCTTTAGCCTGTATGAACTTTACCACACCTGGAATTTGCTGAAGAAACATGATAGGTAACATATTTTCTCCAAGTCTAAGAAATATTGATGATAATTTAAACAAGTAAGGCACAGCACCCTATTTATTCATTAAACTCATTTTGAAGAAATCACTGGGGAAATCACTAGAGAGGCCACTGAAGAAATCCCTGGGGGAAAAAATAAAGAAGTCACTGAAAAAATCACTGGGGAAATCACTAAAGAAGTCAATGAAGAAATCACTGGGGAAATAAATAAAGAAGTCACTGAAGAAATCACTGGGGAAATCACTAAAGAAGCCACTGAAGAAATCACTGGGGAAATAAATAAAGAAGTCACTGAAGAAATCACTGGGGAAATCACTAAAGAAGTCACTGAAGAAATCACTGGGGAAATAAATAAAGAAGTCACTGAAGTAATCACTGGGGAAATCTCTAGAGAAGTCACTGAAGAAATCACTGGGGAAATCACTAAAGAAGTCACTGAAGAAATCACTGGGGAAATAAATAAAGAAGTCCCTGAAGAAATCACTGGGAAAATCACTAAAGAAGTCACTGAAGAAATCATTGGGGAAATTTAAAAAAAGAAGTCACTGAAGAAATCAATGAACATCGTTTACAACATCATACTTGCTACTTACGATAAAGCTGCACAAAGTATGATATGAAAATAGATACTGCAAAACGAAGGTATTGAGAATAGTTAGCACATATTATAACATGTAAGATAATGTTAACGGTATTACAATTAAATAAGTATGAGAATTCAAAAATCTAGGAAGCAGATTTATAGAGATTGATGGCAGGTTACAAAATTCTAGTGCTGTCACCTTTTAGCAAACCCTACTGCTTAGACACCCAAATGTCTCCCTTCTAGCAAACCCTACTGCTTAGACACCCAAATGTCTCCCTTCTAGCAAACCCCACTGCTTAGACACCCAAATGTCTCCCTTCCAGCAAACCCCACTGCATAGAAAAACAAATGTCTCCCTTCCAGCAAACCCCACTGCGAAGACACTAAAATGTCTCCCTTCATGCAAACCCCACTGCATAGAAAAACAAATGTCTCCCTTCCAGCAAACCCCACTGCATAGAAAAACAAATGTCTACCTTCCAACAAACCCCACTGCATAGAAAAACAAATGTCTCCCTTCCAGCAAACCCCACTGCTTAGAAAAACAAATGTCTCCCTTCCCGCAAACCCCACTGCTTAGACACCCAAATGTCTCCCTTCAAGCAAACCCCAGTGCATAGACAAACAAATGTCTCGCTTCCAGCAAACCTCACTGCTTAGACACCCAAATGTCTTCCTTCAAGCAAACCCCACTGCATAGAAAAACAAATGTCTCCCTTCCAGCAAACCCCACTGCTTAGACACCCAAATGTCTCCCTCCAGCAAACCTCACTGCTTAGACACCCACATGTCTCGCTTCCAGCAAACCCCACTGCTTAGACACCCAAATGTCTCCCTTCCAGCAAACCCCACTGCTTCGACACCCAAATGTCTCCCTTCAAGCAAACCCCACTGCATAGAAAAATAAATGTCTCCCTTCCAGCAAACACCACTGCATAGAAAAACAAATGTCTCCCTTCCAGCAAACCCCACTGCTTCGACACCCAAATGTCTCCCTTCCAGCAAACCTCACTGCTTCGACACCCAAATGTCTCCCTTCCAGCAAACCTCACTGCATAGACACCCAAATGTCTCCCTTCCAGCAAACCTCACTGCATAGACACCCAAATGTCTCCCTTCCAGCAAACCCCACTGCATAGACACCCAAATGTCTCCCTTCCAGCAAACCCCACTGCATAGAGACCCACATGTCTCCCTTCCAGCAAACCCCACTGCATAGACACCCAAATGTCTCCCTTGCAGCAAAACAGCAAATTTGTCATTGCCTCTTCATTCCTATTTTATGCTATCAGTGCCAGGCATAGACAATGAATACGGCACTAGAAAAGAAAATAAGTATCTACGAAATGTGCGGTTTATGCAAGATCACTAACAACACAAGAAGGGAAACGGTTATAAATACCAGCAGCATCAGGTAGAAACAACATGCAACACTGACCCTGCTGTGTACATTATAGATCAATATGCTTGTACGGCCTATATAATTACGTAATATTGTCCCGACACATGGACAGAGAATGCAGTTGATAAGCTGATACACAAGAAATTTAATGAATTATTTCTGGAAGACTTTATACGCACTAGACAACCATTGAACATTCAAATAAAGTGAACAACGCAGTTATTTGGTCCCACTATGAAAACTCAGAGATCTTTACTGTAGAGAGAGAAAGAGAGAGAGAGAGAGAGAGAGAGAGAGAGAGAGAGAGAGAGAGAGAGAGAGAGAGAGAGAGAGAGAGGAGAGGGAAGAGAGAGGGAGGGGCGTGGATAGAGAGAGGGGAGAGAGAGAGAGAGGGGAGGGGGAGGGGGGACAATGAAAGGATCAGTCTTACGCCAGTGGTGCATTAGGCAGTGGATGCTAGTTATATTCGTGTAGACCAAACGTGACTCGATGAGTGATGTCGTCAATATTACGCCAGCCGCCTTTACTTCCCAGGCCTTTACTGGGGCTAGTTTTAGAATGTTCAACCTGGGATCTGGTAGAAAGGGTTTATTTTGAGGAGGCGGGGGAATTCTAGTGGGGATTCGAACGCAAGACCTTTGGACAGAGTGTCTAGCCAATCTGTGGCTGCGACTTCCATTACTGTACGAGAGGGATCTCCGAGGACAGGAGAATTAAGGACGTCCCAGGAAACACTACAGCACTCAACAATGCAATGCTTTTGTGGTTATAAGCTGGGCTAAGTTACAAGACTGCTAACAATCAAAATCAGCAGAGGCACATTATCCAACTACCCAAATACCCATTTTAATATTGACTGACCACAAGAATGACTTTCAAAACTTCTAATTAACAAAACCAATAAAGACAATGCTCACAAGAGCAAGAGAAGCATCAATGCTCTGGATCTTGGCGTTTCCCTGTGTACTAAGTACAGGAGCTGCGTACAGCTGACCTTGTCTGGGAGACTGGTCAGCCACGAACCTGACCTCTCCGGTTGTCTGAAAATAATGCAGTAATTGAGTTAGTTTCAGTTATAGAAAGGTAAATGTGATTATTAACAGGTTACCATAGCCGACACTGTTAAAAAGCCAAAATGGTGCTGTTAAACGAGTTTTTGTACTTGAATAAATGAAGATTAATTAGAGAGGCTAAGGGTGTTGGACCAAATTCCATCCATAACACCATTGCTAAACAGAACGGATTCGAAGAATGGATTGCGAGCCCTATGTGACAAATAACAGCACAACCGGTTGATAATAATAATAATAATAATAATAATAATATAATAATAATAATAATAATAATAATAATAATAGCAATAATCTCTTGGAAACCGAAATGTTGAAAAAAAAAATTTAGCTGGGGCTTTTGTGAGAGCCACATTCTGGTAAAGAGCATCTGCATGTTGATAATAACATATTTATTATTAAGTCATCACCATCATTATCATCGTCATCATCCATTTCCACTCCTGCCGTTAGGCGACACAGGGAGGAAGAGTTAAGATCCAGTGCTAGACGGGCAGCAATAGCTATTGTCATTCTGTGTCGACGTAGAAGTTCTTTAATGTCATCACTCCTTAACCTCCTAGGGCGACCTCCTAAGGCGACCTCCTAATTTCACTTTATATCTTTCAATGTGTAGCGCCTTTGTTGGTAGTTGTTCTAGCTGCGTTTTTACTAGATGACCAAACCATTCGATTGTCTGTTTCTAAATGAATTTGCTGCATGGTGTTGTTCCCAAAGTCTGTCTGATAATAGCATTTCTAACTTTGTCTCAAATAGTTTTTCTCAGTTATATAATTTCACAGGTGGTAAATTTCACATAGGTTAGCCTTTGATAATGTCCACGTCTGGCACTGGTATCAGTGCTGGTATGAATTTGCTTTTAATGTTTCTTGGCGCTCATAGTTGTGTTTGGGTGTCTTAAAAACCTTATCACTCAGTATATAAATGCACAAGTGCCTTGTATAATCAATTGTATATTTCAGCGATATAGTGGTTCCTGCACAGTCCTGACGGGGCAGAGGTGAAAGTTCAACTAAGAAGTGGTTTCTGAGCCATCACCACCACAGCCGAAGTGGTGTAGTCGTTAGACACTTACATTCCCTATTGCGGGTTCCAATCTGCATCAAGTCCCGTCTGTTGTTTTCAGTAATGGCCTAGGTCTATCCAGTCTAAAATCGGCGCCATGTTAGGTCATGGGAAGCAAAGGCAACCGGCAAAATGTTGACCATCTCAAACATGGAGTGCCAACTAGTCTTAAACAAATTTGAGTCTAACATGTTATGCCCACTGCGCCACTGGTGTGAAACGGGTCTTTAGAGTGGCCCTTGGTCGACCCAGCAGCAGCAAAATGAACACCCGAGTTTTACAACACACAAAGGCCTTTAATACGCCGTTCAGTCATCGGACACCTTGTGCTAAAGCCATTTTGTCATAACAAGTGAGGATACAAATGAGGCTAGTGGGTGGGGTCGTTTGACCGCAATTCAGCTGATGACTAGAAGTGCTACATATAACATGCAGTGCGACTCCAACAGTCAACAAAGGGATTCTAAAATAATTTAATTTAATTTATTTAAATTTGAATATGTTTTTTTTAAATTCAACTATTTCTTTTCTCTCTCTTCTTTTTTCAAACATCCTCTTACTCTGTTTCGTTTCCAACTATAGCTCGTCCTGCCAAAATCCTCACTTCCCCCTAACACATAACGTATTTCTTGGTTTCGCTTTGACATTTGCTGTTTAGAAACAATATTGTCTTGTCCGTTGAGTTTTCCAGTCACAGTTTATGTTTTCTATAGGAGCATGCTCAGCTTTGACTTCTGCGTTACTAGGAATATGTGAATGAATTTTTCGAGAGAATGGTGACCAGGTACGATACATCGGTTTACTTCGTGAATGCAGTGACAAAAGAACCTTTAAAACAGTTAATGCATACTCAATCTTCAAAATAGCCCACAAAAATTCAAGCTGATGAATATACATCAACAGTTTTGATTGTTCCTTCGTCTCTGCATGTGAACTAATGTCTCGTCTCCTGTCACTACACTCTCGAGAATAGCATTCGCATTCGTAAATGACGACTAAATAGAGTAATAAAAGTACATCTGTATGAGAGGCAAGGAACAAACGTCAGTTAGGAAAAAGGTAGATCTGTAAAACGGATGTGCACACAGAACTCAAGATGTAGAACAAGACCAAAGTCCAAAATTGGACGAACAACGATAACTGTTCTCTGGAATATACAACCGCTTAACGCTAAGTAGAAGAAGAAAACCAATTTAAGAAACAAAAGATGTTATTATACACTGAATCACTCACCAAGTTATAGGCGGTTACTTTCATCATTGACTCGGTGACGGGGTACACAGATGGGTCGGTCGTTCCTAAATCTTGGGTCCCAGTCATGATTGGCCTGACTAGATCCAGGCCACCGCTGGCAAATCGTGCAGAACATTTGTTCTGACACACACCCAGGGCGAACTGTAAAACAGAAGCCGCATACACAATAAGACTCTCTTAACAGATATTCTACAGATAAACAAATATTTGACATCTGCTGCATTTGATCTCTGAAAATCTTTTAGTCCCAAACAACGTCTGGAATGTGAATGGCCCTAATTCTTAGTTTAACTTCATAGCATAATGGGATCTCTTACTTTTTAAACAAATTTAAACAGACCATGTTAACAGAAATGTGACCTCATAAAATGGCCACTACCACTGTGTATATTGCTGGAAGTACTCTTCCCTTTGCTATTGCTGTGTTGTAGTTCATGCTGAGAAAGACCACGGCCGAAACGACAATTTGCATTCTTTTGTGCACGTTGTTGTGCTTCACCATTTAGTCAAGTTTTTTTTTTTTTTTTTTTTTTTTTTTTTATAATGTCAAGTATCTCCTGGTAAAACTAATGTATTGTCCTGGGAAGTAAAGACTGCCGGCTGATGTTGACTACAAAAGCCACCGGCTACCAATCGGCCTATAAAATATACTTCTATCCTTATATGCCTAATACGCCTCAGTTCGTGGAAAAGTGACCTTTTACTTCAGTGTAAGGACACTCATACCCCAATTCCCAGAGGGACACACACTTTTAAATCGCTGGACAAGATGTTTATGTGTAATTACCAATATCGTGGGTTCATTACTCGAACTCAACGGTAATTTCACAAGTGTAATATTTACGGACATTTAAGAAGGGTATTCACTGGAGTAGTTTGTGCTGTGTCCCTCAGAAAAAGGCTTGTCGTTTCGTAGAAGAACAAAAAAGTCTCAGCCATATAGCAAAACTCGGTAAAATCAATAAGATAGCCACGACTTTCACTTTCAATTTATGAATTTTAAAAAAAAAACCCCGATGTTTTGCAGTTACAAGTGGACATTAGCATTACCGTTGAGTAGAATAATATAGATATATTCCTACCTTGTAGAACTGCCCAATGGCCAGTGATTTACGGTAGGTTGGACTGGCCAGAACAGTTCCAGAGTCGGGAACAATTTCTCCAGAGAGAACAGTCAGCGCATCTGTACATTGTAAAATAAATACAAGACTCAAAAGATAGCCTCAAACACGATAATACAGTAACATATGATAAAAAACAAAGCTTCTTATTCATAGCAAGTATTAATTCAATGTGATACCAGTAGCCTTATGTAAACACTGCGCTTAGCAACGCGGTCCCCCTTGACAATATACAATGAAACCTTTCAGTCAGAGACAGTTTAACTTCAGCCCATTTCTACTAAAAATGTTTTGTTCTGTAGAATAATAGTCGTTGTATCTTGCAACATAACTACAGGCATATGGGGGATGGAGGGGGCGGGGGGGGGGGTGTGGAGATAAGAATATAAATATAACCGATTAGGCAAAAATAAGAATACCGTGGACCAAGAAGGAGAAAAATACCAATGTCCTTGATGATCTGAGCAGCGATGAGAATCAGCTCAAAAACCATATCATGTTCTTAAAGCTGAAGTATGTTGGCCGTGTTAAATATCCCGGTGGCCTGGACATAACGGTGATGGGGGAACAGTTTCCGACGCAAAAGCTGACCTCTACGAAGAGGGATGCAAGACATTGATGATGTATTATCTATAGAAGCACACACAGCTGGAGAATTGACTGAAGACTGAGACACATTCAAGACTGGCGTGACGAGAGCGACTTTCTGTAAGTGACCTCCAGCTGACTGATGACGAAGAGAAGAGTAATCCATAAAATGTACTTTAATATAGTAACCGATAATGTGTAGTGATTGATATATCCTTAAAGAGTTATACACTTTAATAAGTAATCAATACACGTATAGTGAGGCAATATGTCCTTGAGTTAATTTGCATTAATTGTTCCCAAGGGTGAAGATGAACAAGTGTAAGTGTAATCATTTTATGATCATGAAAGTTGGTCAGCATGATGTGGGTACACTATTGATGGATGTTGGTGAACTCACAAATGTTATGTACACACTATTGAATATTTAAACATTATTTCGAATACTTAGACTCTTTAGTGAACAACAGTGGTGACTGCTCGAAAGAAGTCAGAAGAAGACGCATTAGCAAATCATAGGTTAAACAGCATGAACAACCTATGACAAAGAGCTAGTAAATTGCTTAAAGTAAAAATCTTGAGATCATGCATTTGTTCTGTGGCAACTTACGGTTGCCAGCCCTGGACTCTCACTCAGTCACTGAGGAAAACGTTTGGAGCTTATGAATTGAAATGTTATAGAAAAATTATCAGAGTACCATGGATCAAGAAGAGGAAAAACATCAACATTCTAAACGAGTTGAACATCAAGGATAACTGGCTCATAAACAGCATCCTGTCTCGAAAGTTCAAGTATTTTGGCCACATCAAGCGTCATGGTGGCTTGGACAAGACGGCGATGGATGGTGCAGTTTGTGGAAGGCGAGGCAGGGGTCGACCTCCGCGAAGATGGATACAAGACATTGAAAAAGCATTGGCATTAAAAGCTCATGGGGCCGGAGAGCCGGCTATGAAAAGGGATACTTTCAAGCGTGCCGTGAAGAGAGCGACGTTCTGTAAAGGATTAGCTGATTGATGATGACACTGTTGATGGTTGTCGCTAATTGAAACATGTTGTGGCCACACTATTGTTGGATGGTAGACTAAAACATGTTGTGGCCACACTATTGTTGGACGGTAGACTAAAACATGTTGTGGACACACTATTGTTGGATGGTAGACTAAAACATGTTGTGGACACACTATTGATGGATGTTGGTAGACTAAAACATATTGTGGACACACTATTGTTGGATGTTGGTAGACTAAAACATGTTGTGGACACACTATTGTTGGATGTTGGTAGACTAAAACATGTTGTTTACACACTATTGTTGGATGGTAGACTAAAACATGTTGTGGACACACTATTGTTGGATGTTGGTAGACTAAAACATATTGTGGACACACTATTGTTGGATGTTGGTAGACTAAAACATGTTGTGGACACACTATTGTTGGATGTTGGTAGACTAAAACATGTTGTTTACACACTATTGTTGGATGGTAGACTAAAACATGTTGTGGACACACTATTGTTGGATGTTGGTAGACTAAAACATGTTGTGGACACACTATTGTTGGATGGTAGACTAAAACATGTTGTGGAAATACTATTGTTGGATGGTAGACTAAAACATGTTGTGGACACACTATTGATGGTGGATGTTGGTAGACTAAAACATGTTGTGGACACACTATTGGTGGTGGATGTTGGTAGATTAAAACATATTGTGGACACACTATTGATGGATGTTGGTAGACTAAAACATGTTGTGGACACACTATTGATGGTGGACACACTATTGGTGGTGGATGTTGGTAGATTAAAACATATTGTGGACACACTATTGATGGATGTTGGTAGACTAAAACATGTTGTGGACACACTATTGATGGTGGATGTTGGTAGACTAAAACATGTTGTGGACACACTATTGATGGATGTTGGTAGATTAAAACATGTTGTGGACACACTATTGATGGATGTTGGTAGACTAAAACATGTTGTAGACACACTATTAATGGTGGATGTTGGTAGACTAAAACATGTTGTGGACACACTATTGTTGGTTGTTGGTAGACTAAAACCTGTTGTGGACACACTATTGATGGATGTTGGTAGACTGAAACATGTTGTGGCCACACTATTGATAATGGATGTTGGTAGACTAAAACATGTTGTGGACACACTATTGATGGATGTTGGTAGACTAAAACATGTTGTGGAAACACTATTGATGGATGTTGGTAGACTAAAACATGTTGTGGGCACACTATTGATGGATGGGGGTCAGCTGAAATATGTTGTGTATACACGTGTAAATACGACTCACTTTGAAGAACAGCTGGGTCTGCTAAATTTTTGTTGACCAAGAAAGCTTCGGTCTGCACTGCATGGACCTGGTTGTAGGCGGTAAAACAGTTGAAATGACAAGTTCTCAATCAAGCTCACCTTGAACCTTCTCTTCACAAGAAACTAACTACAAAATGTCGTTTGTTTTCCATTTTATATAAGATGCTTTTAATTTATAAGAAAAAATATACTAAATTTAATAATGTGTACATTAAAATACTAATCGCAAAAAAAAAAAGTGTAATCCTAGTTAGCATGTTTTAAAATAGCACACAGGCACCTGACAAAGTCGCAGAATGTTTAACTCAGTAAAGACAATGCAACTATACATCACTATGTAATTTGTTTGCAAGTAATTGCAAATCTACATTTTCATGTAAGAAATATAAAATAACTATAAAATAAAAGCAAAGGGAACACTGAAACAGGAAACTGGAAGGAAAGAGGAAGACAGGACGATAAGAAGATTTATTAAGCATACTTTCACAAATCTATGAGTACAGAGACGTGTGAATTAAATCATTCAGCATAAAACAGACAGTTATGGAACGATTTCCTCAGCATGAGTTGCTCAACGCTCTGTCGGCTTAGACATGCTCACAGATTGGATAAACCACTGAGGAAAGTTTAGATGGAAAAGTTATTTTCCTCTACTTTACAGGGTGTTCCTATTAACAACATAATTTTTTGACTGCTTGGGGTTTTGCTAGGAAGTTTTACATTCTGCAGTTTGCCATTGCTGTGACAGATAAAGGCGCAACAGGAAAATGAATGAATGAACACTAAATAACACAGGCGACGCACGAAGAAGCAGACACAATAAGTAGACAGATCACCAAGACATGCTCGTCAGTTTTAAAACAATATGTTAGTAATAAACCAAAACTAAAACACTGTTAGGGTCGTGTTTTTTAGCTCAAAAGATTCGTTTTGTTTGTGTTTCTCATTTTTCGACAAAGTTAGTGTATTTTTCCTGTCATACAAGTGTAAACCAATCGCACATTTTACTGTATGTTGTATGGTTTTACAAGACACTATTAGTTTCCGTAATGTTGACATTTCTTTCTGAGAAGCACGGCTTCTATATCGTCGTTAAAATCAACTTAAAATCGCGTGCAATTATTCAAACGTTAATATAATTCAGTAATAAACAACTGCCGAGACTATGAGGCCTAAAACAAAGTGCAGTACCTTGGTGAGTCCATCGCTATGTTAATTGTAAGACATGCTTGTCACTATAAAACTACAAAATATATCCGGCAGTTAGCTCTGCGGCCTACTGTTTATGAATGCAATTTGATATTTATGTCTCGAATAAAACCAGTGAATCGAGTCTGTAACGAAAGAAACTATAGCAAGCATTGGCAAGGCATTTCAAGTTTTTAAAAGTCTGAACAAACTCTCGAGCTCTACGTTATGTGGTTTGAAAATAAAGTTATATAGTTTTCATTGAAATGTTATTTCAGTTTTAACAAATGCGGTGGCGAACCATTACAGATATGGAACGAAAATTAAAGAGAATCATCAATCAGACACTGAAATGGGAAATAGAGGAACTGAGGAAACGACAACGTCCAAGAGGAACCCTCAAGCGAAGGTTGCTCAGAGAAGCCAGAGATGATCGACTGGATTTCATCTGTGATATCGAAGGCATTAGACAAGATATACAAGAATGGACACATAGAATGTGAGACCATTATGCCATACAAGACCCCAACAGGACAAAGAATGAATGAGTGACGTATATGAAACCAACAGAAACGCCACTTACCAATTGACCGTTGATGCCTTGGATAACAATGGAAGGTTTTGACTTGACCAGATAGTTGTTGTTGGCGTCCACTTGAAAGTTGTATCCCGAAGTGACATGGGCATGGCACAGCTGCAAGAAACAAACAAGCAAACTCGGATAGTCTGATTAACGCTACCGATTCACAAAATACGTCCAAGTATACACAGTTACACTGTGGCAGGGTACACGCCTACAACAATTACTAACAACACTGAGATCATTAAATAGCAACAAAAATATAAAACTAACAAGAAAGAAAAACAAAGATGCAATGTCCCAAAAACATGAAACTAACACGAGCGGAAAACAAAGATGAAATGTCAAAAAAACTATGCACATGGATAAATATTGTAGAGAAACAAAGTAAGTAAGTTTTACCCTCACCAGGACATTACACCGAGCAATAAACACCCGGTGACACAAAGTGTCACCATTCGAATGAGGATCACCCGTAGAGTGCTTCTAGAAACCCATCCAACCGTTGGATTATATTAGGGCCCCGGCAACAGCAGGGATGGTGCTTAAAAAACACACGAAAAATTGCATCCCACATTGGAGAGACAAAGTTGAGTAATGACGAGTTAGGGGGGAAATTATGAATTATAATTATTATAAATATGGACAAGAAAGGCAGATAATTTAGAAAACATATTTACACGTGAATCCTAAAAAAATATTGTAATAATAATGTCATGAGCTCAATATGGTAGGGGTCTTGGCAAATACATAATGTTCACAAGTACACCAACATTCACAAGTTTACCAACTTTCACATGAACAACAACATTCACAAGTACATCAACATTCACAAGTCCACCAACATTCACAAGTTGACCAACGTTCACAAGCTGACCAACATTCACAAGTTCACCAACATTCATAAGTCCACCAACATCCAGATACGTCAATATTCCCAGGTATAGAACAGAAAACCATTGTGTTACCTGGAGTCTGTGTGAAGTCTTTGAAGTCCGAATGATGACGTCAGAGCTGTTGTATTTGGGCAGTGTCATGGACACAATCACTTTCCCTTTCAGGTCTACGGACAAGAAGTCCACAAGGGAATACTGTTTGCTCACACCATCACCGTCCACTGGAAAGTCAAATATTAATTGCGAATTATTTACCCCGCTTTGAAAAGACTAGATTATTTATTCTAAGGTTAGGTTAGTTGCGTATCCTTTACAGGACGTTGCAGAACCAACCCCAGCAGCCCCTGGCTTTTGTGTGGTTTTTTAGGAAAATATACGTCCAGTAGTTTGCCATTGCCTCTGGACGGTCGGCTCCATGAAACCACTGTCGAAACCAACGAAAGGCACATGGCGCTCAACTGGGATCGAACCCGGCACCCCGGCATTACGAAGCGTTCGCATCGACTTAGCCACAGAGCCGACATTTATTCTAAGAGCGGCGAATAATTTCTCCATAACACACAATGTAGTGGGTGAGAAAGAGTAATATTTTTTACACTTTTACACATCATCAACATTTTTATCATCAACATCATCATAAACTAATTTAACAAGAATTATGCCCATTGACTCACTCCCTAGAAACCTGTATGAAAGGTGATCCTCCCTGCCCCCCCCCCTCCTTTACCCCCTGCCCCGACACACATACACCCCATTTCTTTGTGGAAAAGAGACAATGATGTTTGTCGGGTGACCAGGATTTGAGCAATATTAGGTAATTTACACGCAAATCCTTATGCTATATTTATCACATTGGTGCCATCTTTACATTTAAGATCAACTGCCAGTAAATCCCCGTTTTCTACACCACTCCCAGTGATAATGCTGTTCATCTTCCATTTAAAAGTCATACGTATACTGATGTGGCGTGATGCCGCCCACGGAACCCATCGAGGTTGAATCTTGTACGACCGATAGGCCGCTGGCGCTTAAAGGGACCTTTCCTTTTTTAAAGACTCTATTGAAGAAAATTTCCCGTTTATAAATATATATATACACCCTCGTCTATTATGTGTGCTCTCCAGCTTCCTATCGCATGCATGTTTCATTGTTTGTCTTCGGTGGTCCCGTGAGATTAACCAGGTTCTGTTGGCCAAGAGTGTTACTCCGTTTCTATCTCTCTTTTCCCCACTTTTGCGGCGTCATGTGAATAAAAATTCTTTTACACGCTATCTGCGCATCCGGCAAAAAAGGCTAAATTCATGATTCTAAACACTTCGATGGGTGATGTAGACAACCTCATGCCTGTCGTCTTTACTTGCAAGGATGTTAATTGTCAGTTGTCCTTTCCACGTAGTCTTTTACATTTGCCTTGTAACATTAAGACTAGGTCGACTTAAAATCCAAGAACGTGTCTGAAACAGATACGGCGTAGGTGGATTTGAAACACTACTCCCACCTTCAGACCCGCATGCGAGCGTCTAGTCGCTACACCGTTGCTTGCTTTCGTGAGTTTTGCTCCACCGAATAATTGATTGGATGGTCACAGTCAAACAAATAAGTAATTACCGATTGTAAGTTGCGTCCCAACTGTTTCAAGTATGGTGTAGACATCAGAGGCAAAATCATTATGAAGGTTTTTCAATGCCAGGTTGCCTGACCAGGAGCTAAGCTAGAAAATAAACGTTTGGCCGTCATATTACAGGAATTAAAACCTGGCATGAGACATAAAACACTGTAATGATCAAAACAGATATTTAGACAATGTATGTGACATGAATGCAAACTAACATCGAATTGTGGTGACATAATTAAAGCAAAATTATTTGAAATGAGTGGTTTTGTAGTTCAATGCATAAACGTCGAGTCTGTATCTCTCTCTCTCCCCACTCCCCTCTCCATCTTTCTCTTCGTCTCTCTCTCTCTCTCTCTCTCTCTCTCTCTCTCTCTCTCTCTCTCTCTCTCTCTCTCTCTCTCTCGGTCTGCCTTTTGTACAGTCTGATAGGCTGCTGTTTCGTCAATGAAATGTTGTACTCTTCCTATCTGTATCATTGTTTATCTTTCGCCTGCCTGTATTGAGTTGTCCTTTCCACACAGAGGCTAAAATACACTTTTTTAAAAATTCTTCTATGAAATAGAACACATGCTTCTGTGTGGTCGTCTCTCCTAGGTTACATTTAACATTCTGACTGTATGTCCAGATTTCAGTGCCACATAACATATAGCACACATAATACATCTAAAACCATCATATAACACTCAGGATGGGGAAAAGGAAGGGGGGGGGGAGGAGGGATTACTGAATACTACATGGTACTGTGGCTTACTAACGGCTTGATGTTCGCTTTCGGGCCTCAAGTTCTGGGGCGCATCGAGTCCGCATCAAGTCCGCATCAAGTCAGATTTTCTTCAGAAATGGCTTCTATGTCACCAGCCCTATCTTGTACACCAGGTAGCCAAGGGAAGTAAAGGCGGCATACCTGATGCTGAATTTTGACCCAACGACTACCTATTGGTCTATACAAATATGTAAGCTGGCAACAGGTAGCCCGAGCAACTGGCGGGGAAATTGTTCTCTACAACATTTTTCTACTTTTTATTTTGAACAAATGCAGTTGGATGTACTTCGTTCAAATTTTAACTTGCTTACTGCAGGTTAATCCGTCTGAATACTTAATTTATACAATCAATAAGGTCCCCAGTAAAGGGTAGCTGCAATGGACTTGCAACACTTTCTTGACTCTCGTCAAATTTGCACACTTTTATTGTAATAAACTATCACTGTTGTACTTACATTTCTGATGCTGTTTGAGGCGACGAGTCCCAGGTGTGTGGCAAACGCTTTAGCGTACGGCAAGCCAGGATCGGTGGTCGACTCAAAGGCCTCTTTCAGGGCAGTAAGGGATACATTTGCTCCAAATGTGATATGGTCGCTGGGGGTCAGCTAAGAAATATTCATACATTCTTTAACTGTAAGTCTTCATTAAGTCGATCAGAGTGATAGTTAATTTTGTAGCCTGAAATAATTTTTTTTGGTAATAAATAATCTAGAATGGTGAGTGTGAGTCTTACTTGTTAGCTCGCTTGGTGGTAAACTGCTCCAAACGCTGTCAACGATGGTTTTTACAACGCGGATTTCAATGAGATTTTCCTACTCCTGATCTCAGCTGGGTCGACCAGAGCCTATTTTATTCTCAATATTAAATAGTTCAAATATAATACTTATCTAAAAGTTACCACACATTAAAATTTATGAATATAAGGGGTACAAGTTTACATAAAAATAAAAGCATTCTAAAATTGACTATCTTTTTAATAAAAGACACATACTCTCGCAGTACTCGTTTAAAACCATGTAAAGTAACATTACCTTTCCAAATGCACCAAAATGGCAAACATAGTAATGAAGTATTGAAACAACAATTGCCAGTATGCAAATTCACATTTAAAACATAGGTAAGAAATATCTGACAATTACATCGACTGTGTACAACTGCTGAACTCCCCGGATGTCAATGAGAATACTGTAGTTCCATGGACCGACTTCCCCGTACACACCTGAAACATAAAGTACAATGATTATCAAGGCTAATACATGTGTTGGTTTCTTCTCGTCATTCACAGTTTTGTGAAGCAACAGTTTTCACCTTTGTCATTTTACATTTTATTGTTCCTGTTAAATATAACGTATTTGTAATAAAGACTCTGCCAACAAAATTCTTGTGTGTGGGGTAATGAGCAAGCAGAGAGATTAACTGCTGTCTCTCCTATGGGCCGTGAGTTGTTCACGGTAAACGAACGTTGTAAGGCCCTGTATGATCAAGCGAACAGAACATCCCTACACCGAGAGACTGATTTTGCAGGGAATGAATAGAGAATCTTGACGGTTTCAAGCACGCAGAGGAGAAAACATGCCGACTGTTATTCACGATGAAACTGGAACCATCTGGATGGGAACTCTGCTACTAAGTAAGGGGACAGCATCAATCGATATAACGTCAAATCCTAATTGATTGATTGATTGATTGATTCATTCATTCATTCTTATTCCTTTTGATGTGGCATAAACAGCAAAGTGGGCTCACACTTCCAAACAAAAATGGAAAAAAAATGTGCTTTTTTCAGAAATAATTACTGCTTTGTCGTGACAGCTACTTTCGTTAACTATTATATTATTTATAATGATACACTATACAGGCTGGCACGTGTAGGGGCTTCCTTGTGCATTTGATGATTGTGCAAGCTGCTGGATTTTGCCGGGTCTGCTATATGCTTGACTTCCCACACGATGATGTCAGGAGAACAGTAGCCATGGAACCAGATCTGAACTTTACAGGTAGACAACAAATCAAATTATCTAGCCACGTAACAAGACTGGCTTCAACAAGGCATCACAGAGAGCAATGTTATACAGATACAGCGGTAACAGAATCAGAGGTCGACAACACAGAATATAGACAGCAGAATTATCAAAGACACTGACAATTAGTTCATACGAAGCGAACAGATGAGCCCGTTCCAGAAATCGCTTCCTGCCCTGATGCCGCGAGGCTTTCCAGGAGTAGAGGAAAGAAAGGAAGATGAAAAATCACTAGGCTAGCGACTTCATTTACTGTACACATTAGTAAAGTACAGATTTTCTTCGTCTTGATGTATGTTAGGTATATGGTGCTCTCGATTATATAGATGATATGACCAATAATATCACATTGGTCACAGTTAGTTTCAAGAGCTTTAGAATCCTTAGCTACAGTTCATGTGGAACATTTCGACCTACGAACATATTTATCTACAATAAATTCTTCTCATTTTTTGCCCCTGTTGCCATCGTAAAAAAGAACCGGTTTTGACGTTGTACTGTAGTCTACAATTAGACTATGACATCCGCACCTCTTGGCTTAACATAGTCAGTTTAGGTAACCACTAATTGGTCAACAATCATGACCTGTATGGAAAGGGGGGAGGGTTATTTTATCAGCGTCAAAACTCCTTTCTGCAGTTCAACGCCATAGGCAAGAACAATTTGCAGTCCAGTTTTACTGTGGCTGTCTCTGGCTATTCTCATCTCGTGAGGGTGCAAAAGTGTCTTCAATGATGTCAGTCCATATTTTTCGTGACCGTTCTGTTGTTCTTGTAACTGACCTTCTGAGATGTAGTGCCTGTGATGGGATTTGATTTTGGTGCATTCTAACGAGATAGCTAAAGTACATGATCTACTGGTTACTGCATTTAGTTGAAGATGTTGTCGGCACAGTCTGTCTGGTTGTATCAGTATTCACTCATTCTAATTCAACTTTAGGGGTTGCTGAGAGAATTACAAAAGGCAGTGAAGTTCATACTAGAGATATCATTGCAGATATAGATAATTTATTTCAAACAAACGAAAGAAGAAGAAGATTCTAATGTGAAAGTTCGGCTTGCAGTTTTTCCTTAGGCATCTCATCGCGCAGGTGGTGATTTTGCGTATTGGGGCTGTGTTTTCCTTAAATATGGGACCGGAAGAGAATCGGGGGAAAAAATAAATAAATAATAAACACTGTGCTAGAAGATGCACGGTGTAAATACATCATGTTTGGCAAACACCTCTTTGTCCACAATATTATAACATCAGACAGAACAATGGACTCACCAAAGCCCGTGTTGCCAAAGATCAGCCTGTAACTCTGTCCAGCGTACTGCTTCAGCAGTGGGGTCAGTTCTGCAAGGGTCAGAGGTTTAAACCATTGGGCCTGGTCATACACGATATGCAGGGGTCTGGGCACACTGTTCTCACAGCTGACCGCTTCACCATTCTTCACGTGGCTGCCGCAGTGACCAATACAAGCTTTTCCGGTCTTTTTGCACATTTTGCCGTCCAATTCCTGTAATACCATCAGTAAAATATAAAAAAATAAATTTAAAAAAAGTACGTTTGCTGACATCCACATCCTTGTGTGGGTACCAGTGCCTTGTTGCCAGGTTAGGGCATGACTTAACAGGCGACTGATTGTGGATGTTTCCTTCGCAGTCGAAGTAAATCTGTATGACAGATGAGGAACCAATGTCTTTTTATTAATATGGCAGATCTGTGAAACAAATAGGCACTCAAAACACAAGATCTGGAAAAAGGTCAAACTTCAGAGATGGAGAAAAATATGTTTATTTGCTTGAATTGTACAGCAAGTGAAGGCTGTGAACAAGAAGACACGACCAGTGAAGTCCTGTTACGTCACCATAACTGTTGGAACAGTTTCGTTGTTGATTTTTCCGAGGCCGTTGTACATAATTACAATATTCTACAATCTTTTAATATTATGTAATTCTCACCTCGATATCAATCACTCCTCCTTTCTTTGTCAATGTCGGTGGGGCGTCAACTGCGAAAGATTTCATGGCATCCAGAATGGACCTGTATCCTAAAAAATTCAAATATAAAACAGTATGTTTACGTAATCTGTGATTATGCTTTTATAATAATACGCAATTATTTCTTCTCCAGCAATCGGTGCTTAGTTCTGCTGTGTTCTGACAAAAATGTTAAGAAACACAACGTACTAAAAGCAACTGTCATCGTTTGACTTGGTAGTGCCGTAATGGTGCCAGTAACAATATAGACAGTTTTAAATTATATATACATACTATATGATGACAGTTTCAAATTAGACACACCAGTAAACATTTGTTTATCTTCAAATTGGAGGCACTGTTGCATCTAAGGAGGAGTCTTCATTAGCCGTAATGTTGAATATAAGGAGGAGTCCACACTAGACGTACTGTTGCATCTAAGAAGGAGTCCACACTAGACGTACTGTTGTATCTAAGGAGGAGTCCACACTAGACGTACTGTTGCATCTAAGGAGGAGTCCACACTAGACGTACTGTTGCATCTAAGGAGGAGTCCACACTAGACGTACTGTTGCATCTAAGGAGGAGTCCACACTAGACGTACTGTTGCATCTAAGGAGGAGTCCACACTAGACGTACTGTTGCATCTAAAGGGGAGTCCACATTAGAGGTACTGTTGTATCTAAAGAGGAGTCCACATTAGAGGTACTGTTGTATCTAAGGAGGAGTCCACACTAGACGTACTGTTGTATCTAAAGAGGAGTCCACACTAGACGTACTGTTGCATCTAAGGAGGAGTCCACACTAGACGTACTGTTGCATCTAAGGAGGAGTCCACACTAGACGTACTGTTGCATCTAAGGAGGAGTCCACACTAGACGTACTGTTGTATCTAAGGAGGAGTCCACACTAGACGTACTGTTGCATCTAAGGAGGAGTCCACACTAGACGTACTGTTGCATCTAAGGAGGAGTCCACACTAGACGTACTGTTGCATCTAAGGAGGAGTCCACACTAGACGTACTGTTGCATCTAAAGAGGAGTCCACATTAGAGGTACTGTTGTATCTAAAGAGGAGTCCACATTAGAGGTACTGTTGTATCTAAGGAGGAGTCCACACTAGACGTACTGTTGTATCTAAAGAGGAGTCCACACTAGACATACTGTTGCATCTAAAGAGGAGTCCACACTAGACGTACTGTTGCATCTAAGGAGGAGTCCACACTAGACGTATTGTTGTATCTAAAGAGGAGTCCACATTAGAGGTACTGTTGTATCTAAGGAGGAGTCCACACTAGACGTACTGTTGTATCTAAAGAGGAGTCCACACTAGACGTACTGTTGTATCTAAAGAGGAGTCCACACTAGAGGTACTTTTGCATCTAAGGAGGAGTCCACACTGGACTTACTGTTGTATCTAAGGAGGAGTCCACATTAGAGGTATTGTTGCATCTAAAGAGGAGTCCACATTAGAGGTACTGTTGCATCTAAAGAGGAGTCCACACTAGACGTACTGTTGTATCTAAGGAGGAGTCCACACTAGACGTACTGTTGCAGCTAAAGAGGAGTACACACTAGACGTACTGTTGTATCTAAGGAGGAGTCCACACTAGACGTACTGTTGTATCTAAGGAGGAGTCCACACTAGAGGTACTGTTGCAGCTAAAGAGGAGTCCATACTAGAGGTACTGTTGTATCTAAGGATGAGTCCACACTACACGTACTGTTGCATCTAAGGAGGAGTCTTCATTAGACTCACTAATCAAAACAAACAAAAGTTAGTTACGTGTTCTTTACTGGACGTTAAAGAACAAATTCCAGCATTTTTTTTTTTTTTGGCTGCTGTGGTTTTTCTAGGCACATTTTATGTTCAGTAGTTTGCCATCGCTTTCTGATCTGTCCGCTCTGAGTAACACTGTTGAAACCAGCGTATGACGTTATGCTGCCAATCGCTTGCACCTGGAATCAACCCCGCACCCAGGTGTTACGGAGCGCGTTCGCAACGCCAAACCCACAGACGCACAAGGGTGCATGTAATTGGTTCTAAAGTAGAAGTGTCACTACAACTACAGATGGTTTTAAAGTAGACCTAAATCTGTGAAAGTAGAAAGTGGATTCTTGCCTAATATGTTAGGCTTTCGTCTTGGCCAATGACGGTCTGGGATTCGTTTTAAAGACTGATTCTTTCCGAAGAGACTAGACCATACGGGATAAAACAAGATGCAAGGAGGGTCATCCTCTCGACTGTAAAATAGTTTCCGCACATTTGTGGATAGCCATACATTAGTTGGAAATTAGATATACTGGTACACATAAATAGTTATACATGATACTTACCAGTACATCTGCAGATGGTTGAGTCAAAGGAGTCTTCAACTTCCTGCATGGTTGGCTTGGGATTGTTTTGGAGAAGGCTAGAAAATCACAGTGACAATATACATCGAGGTTTTATGCATTTATATGAATGTGGAATATAATAATTGTATAAACGACTAAATATTTTAACAGTTTGAGAAATTTCCAAATTCATTTGCTGTCTGTTATTTGTCAGCAATTTGATAATCCAGCCACTTTGACAATTTAATGCATTATGATTGACCATTTGATATGACTACCAGTCTTGGATTGAGTTTGTTTTCTTATATCTATTGTGTCTTGTGTCTAAGTCATTTGGTTGTTGATCTTTTTTCCCCATTCTATTGCTATCTTTCCATTAAATCTCTTAACCGTCAACAAGTTTTCAAATAATGCGGACACAAACAATACATTGCACAATTTATTACCAGGCATATTTCGCTGTATTTCGTCAGCTGCACACTACGAAGATACATCAACATAAAATAAAGCACCCCAAAACTGAAAAATTCCATCTGAAATACGACTAGTTTCTTTCGACACATCATGTATGTTTTGGCCGCCAGAAGTTCACCGTAGTCACGTGACTTACTAGGGTAACTTCAAATTTACTATAAATTACTTCTGCTTACAAAGAAGAGGGTTGTTGATTTTAGTTGTTATAGCTTCGGCCATTCTCAACAGTCGCCTGTTTGGTGTGATGCAATTAATCAAGTTTAATTCTTCTTTGAAATATCTGTAACTATTGACTGTCTGTATCTAATTTATATTGCGAGATTAAGGTTGTCTATCATAAGTCTCTTCACAGACTGTCTCAGTTGCATTTCCGCCCGTTAGCGTTTTTTTTTTTTTTTTAAATGAATATCAATATAACGCCATACACGTCCTCAGATAAAGAACTGAGTGGGTAATCAAGTGTTTATTGATGGCAAATGTTATAAATGGAAGAAGATGAAGATGGCTTGGACAGTGTTTACAGAATGCCTCCTGACACTTTGGTAACGATATATCGCAGATGGTAAAAGTAGACGTGGACGACCCAGGTTAACCTGAAGAAAGACAGTAGAAAGGGAAATAAAAGAATGTAGAATAAACGGGAGTTGTCCGCGTACTCACTTATACATGTTCATGACTTGTCCTTGTACTCACCTATACATTTGTATGACCTTTCCTTGTACACACCAATACATTTTCATGACTTGTCCTTGTACTCACCCATACATGTTCATATGTTGTGCTTATACATACTCACCCATACATTTTTATATCTTGCCCTTGTACTTATTCATATATTTGCATGACTTGTCTACGTACTCACCCATACATGTTCATGACTTGTCCTTCTACTCACCCATACATGTTCATGAGTTGTCCTTGGACTCACCCATACATGTTCATGACTTGTCCTTGTACTCACCCATACATGTTCATGACTTGTCCTTGTACTCACCCATACATGTTCATGACTTGTCCTTGTACTCACCCATACATGTTCATGACTTGTCCTTGTACTCACACATACATGTTCATGACTTGTCCGTGTACTGACCCATACATGTTCATGATTTGTCCTTGTACTCACACATACATGTTAATGACTAGTCCGTGTACTCACCCATACATGTTCATGATTTGTCATTGTACTCACCCATACATGTTCATGACTTGTCCTGGAGTACAGAAGCCACACTGCGCTCCATCAAACTTGGCCAGTCTGTCTTGTACAGGGTGAAGGCCATCTCTGGTGTCTCCCAGACCTTCGATTGTTGTGATTTCGAGCCCATCACAAGTGTACAGCTGAAGGCAACACTACAGAAGACATGGAAGCACAAGTGTACAGCTGAAGGCAACATTACAGAAGACATGGAAGCACAAGTGTACAGCTGAAGGCAGCACTACAGAAGACAAGCAAGCACAAGTGTACAGTTGAAGGCAGCACTACAGAAGACATGGAAGCACAAGTGTACAGCTGAAGGCAACACTACAGAAGACATTGAAACACAAGTGTACAGCTGAAGACAACACTGTAGAAGACAAGGGAGCACAAGTGTACAGCTGAAGACAATACTACAGAAGACAAGGAAGCACAAGTGTACAGCTGAAGACAACACTGAAGAAGACAAGGAAGCACAAGTGTACAGCTGAAGGCAACACTGTAGAAGACAAGGAAGCACAAGTGTACAGCTGAAGGCAACACTACAGAAGACAAAGAAGCACAAGTGTACAGCTGAAGGCAACACTACAGAAGACATGGAAGCACAAGTGTACAGCTGAAGACAACACTGTAGAAGACAAGGGAGCACAAGTGTACAGCTGAAGGCAACACTACAGAAGACATGGAAGCACAAGTGTACAGCTGAAGGCAACACTGTAGAAGACAAGGGAGCACAAGTGTACAGCTGAAGACAACACTACAGAAGACAAGGAGGCACAAAAATACAGGAAACTGAATTCACCCACGTTTTAGTTGGGAAACATGTTTTATTGCTGAGTTTGATTTATGCGTAGACTTTACAAACTCCGACCCTTAATCCCCCATATATCATAAACATTACGTATATTTCCCTAGCTGTATTCGCCATGCTGTGGTTAGGCACGTATGACTGTTCAGGGCGTATTCTAGTGCTTGCATTCAATATATAGCTGATTTTGATTAGTGTACTGTTACCTGTCAACAAATGTATAGAGAAATGATGTATGAAAAAGAAAGGGGGGGGGGGGGAGAGGGTTATTGGAAATTGGGGTGGGGGTGGGGCAAAAGAAAAACTGGATGGAGTGGGTGGTTAAAAGGCAGATTGTAAGACGTGCCTGCATGTCCAATAAATAATTCTTTTAAAAAAAGTGTGTTCATGTGTTCGTTCGTTCATTCGTTTTATCTCACTTTCTCACCCCCTTCTCCTTTTTTTCTGCGCCTCTCCCACGTTTTTTTCTTTGACCTGATTGCCAGTTTGTATCGGCGCAAAATAAATACAAAGAACGTAATATAAACTCAAGGAAGCTGACTTAATATTGAAGATATTTCTGCGGGGCTAAACATTTTTCCTAAACGAGGAATGAGACGTTTACTTTACGTAAACTTCTTCTTTTTCTTCAGCATTCCGAGCCACTGAGGTTCATTGCTGTAGATATCACCAATCTCTATTCATCTCTTTGGTTGGCTTTCTCTTTCCTTTTGGTGACACCAAGTGTTTGCAGGTCTGGACGTTATCTCTCCATCGTCTTCTTGGACTGCTTCGTGGTCTACGACCATTCATCTACCTCTTGTATGCAGTTTTTACTTCTCTGTCATCTGACATTCTTCCAGTATGCCCCAACTATTTGAGTCTTTTCTTCTTTGCGTAAACTACATTTCACAAAATATACAAATGATTATTTATTGTTCAATATTTTAGTTTTTTCATTATGAGATAAATATTTTTGTATCATATTTGTTATTCATAAATTTCAAATCAGTTCTCATTTATAATTATATACAATACCACAATCTGACCGTATTTTCTTAACAGAAATAATAAACATTTAAAAAAAAGATATATTAGTGGGTTTTTTTCGACATGCATGACTTACCGAATTAATTGTGTACAATCTGGGCTTGTTTGTCAGGGGATCCAAGAACTTGACCGTGACTAAACAGACTCCGCACCCACCCTCAAAGCAGCATCCTTTGGTACCTCTGGAGATGCCCGCCTGACGCATATACTCAAGTAGTGACGTAGCCGGATTGTACTCGTTGCCAACTGTCGAAAACGATTTGATTAGCAACACCTCTAGCTGCTACCTGTTTAAGCTACGACCTAAAGGGCTGCCTGGTTTAGCTACATCTCTAACTGCTACCCGGTTTAGCTACACTTCTAGCTGCTACCTGGTTTAGCTATACCTCTAGATGCTACCTGATTGAGCTACATCTCTAGCTGCTATCTGGTTTAGCTATACCTCTAGCTGCTACTTGGTTTAGCTACATTTCTAGCTGCCACATGGATTAGCTACATATCCAGCTGCTATCTGGTGCAGCTGCATCTATAGCTGGTACTTTAAGTGGCCACACATAAAGTTGCCACTTGGTTTAGCAACCTCTCTAGCTGCCACTTGGTTCAGCTACATCTGCAGCTGGTACTTTCAATGGCCACACATACAGCTGGTACTTAAGGTAGCTATATCTCTAGCTGGTAACCAGTCTACCTGTACATCAACTGAATCTCGCTGCAAGCTTCTTCCTTCAGTATTGTGCAAAATTTACAAATTTGACACTTTTTGTTCTTCAAAGCTGTCACCGCCTATATACTGCGATGGAAAGTTCTGGTTGTTCGTCCACTTCTTGACGCTGCTGAAATCAATTGGCTGCCATTGAATAATACCAAACACAAAGTGATTAGGGAAGTGTAAGGGGGAGAGGGGGGGGGGCAGGGGTCTCCGCGGCACAGTGGCCAGGCCGTTAGCCTCGCTGTCTGAATCTCGTGGCTTCGTCTCGACGCTGCCTCGTTCTGTTCACGAGCTCAGTTTATACATACAACTGTAAATCGTCGCCATAGTTACTTTGTATGATGCTTTCGGCAGGCGGCTAGCCGTTCTGTGGAGAGAAGAAGGCGAGAGAGAGAAAGAGAGAGAGAAAGAAAAGAGAGAGAGAGAGACAGAGAGAGCCATAAGGGATAAAAAGCAGTGCATTAAATTCACTCTCTCAATGTAAACTTTAACAATGATACATGATAACTTTATCTAAAACAGGTGATACATTTTGTTATTTAAATAGTTTGTGTTTTACTATGTAACTGAATATTCTTATCTAATCTGGGTTTATGAAGATAAACAATATTTTTTATACATCTTATACATTTATACACATTAGTAATGTAAATGGCCTCAGTTTCATCACGACCTATAAAGGAAAATAATAAGAAGGGCGAGGGGGCAGGGGGAGGGGCCCGAGGGGGGGGGGGGGTTTATCACTGCAATCTGTCAAGAATATCTCAAGATGCGATTATGGAGGGTTTGTATAAGATTGCCTATCTCACTATTCAAAAACGTTTAACTTCAAAACAAAAACAATCTTACTCAAGTACAGAAAGGATGTAGCTGGAGTTAGTCGAAGGCTGTGCTTTGCTAGCCGGACGAGATCAAGAGATAGAGGAAGAGGAGGAAGCCAAAGACGTAGAAGAAGAAGAAATAATAAAGAAGAAAATGACGAAGAAAGAAAACTTTACTGTTATAGCTCTGTCCATTGATTGTTAGTGTGATGCTGGACTTCAAGTCCCCCACAGCCTGGAACTTGAAAAAGTGGCCACAGTTCTCACACGTGCAGGCGTATGTCCCTCTATCAAGGTTTCCTTTTAGGGGAAGATGGCTGCCAACATAAAAGCCATTGAAATATTAAATGA